TTTATACTTCCTCACAAGGAATTCTGTAGAATTTGTGTTAACTTGTTATCTCTAACTTATGAAACCAATTGGTCATCACTAAATTACTTCAGAAAAATATCATGGAAAGAAACATTTCTTATGACTTTTTTATGTAAAACATTAACTCTTATGCTTTTCGAAAGCCACTGAAGTAGTCAGTAAATAGCAAAGTTGTTGCCAGGATTTAAACTATTAGATTCCACGTGGCCCAGCCTTATCTATCCTCTCTAGACCTAAGGGCCATTACACAAGAGACAGGAGTATAAAAACATAAAAACCGATTTCAGGAGATAAGAATTAGTAGGTTCTGTTGTTGGCCTCCCTTGTCTTTCTCCACCTCCCCCACCTGGTGCCTACCTGCTAGCTTTAAAACTCGCTGGACGGTTTCTTAAAGGGACTGTAACACTTACAGCCTAGAAACTAGATTTTACTCACTGAGGGCTTGTGACTTAAATTCCACCAGACTGGTCTGGAGTTATCTGTGCTCTTATTTCTTGATGTTTGTATCCTTCTGCCCCAACCATAATGCAAATCCCTTGTATAAACAGACCAGAACTTTAACATTTTTGCTGTCTTCAGCACCTGAAACAAATGCCTCTATGTAGTAAGGCCACGTAGGTTGTGTAACCAGTCAGTAATAATGGTGACTTGAGCACCACCTGGGCTTTACATCAGAGGCTGCATGATTTGCTTTCCCACAAATCAGCACTGTTCCACACTTGTTCTTAACTAGATGAAGGATCCCTGTCTAGTCCTCTGTTCAGATTTTATTCACAACATGATGCTAGTAATTCCTTTGCAACAATTCTTCCCTTGCTTGTCTTTTTTGCCTAAGTCTCTGAGCTTTTAAGATTAAAATTGCAGTCTAGGAAAAGATAATCTTTGATCTCAACCCCAGTATTTGAGCTGGCTTATCTATTAGTGGGGCACGCCTAAAATGCCTTTGATATCTGCTAGAACAGATATTTGCTTCATTCAAATCCTGCCCAGACTTTTCCCGGTTCTATTAGCTCAATCAATGTGACAATCATATTCTGAATACAGTTGATTTCTTCGAAGGTAAGAAATGCATTCCTCATTTATTCTGTCTTTTCTCAACTTTCTTCATAATCATGAACTTAAAGTGCTTGTCTACCATTTCAAAGGACCCCTCCCTGCCATATGGGGTCAAGACCCCAGGTCCTACATTTTCTCTCCTTAGACCTATGACAATTAAAACTAAATGGTTATTGGTATAATTATTTGCTTAATGTCTATATACCCACTAAGCTTTTATTAGATAATAAGCTTCCTTCCCTATGAAGAAATCATATCTTCTTCATAGAAAGGAATAAGAGAACATAAAAGAACAAGAAATTCATCAAATTTTCTCAAATTTACAGTTCTTCCCCATAAAGTTTTACTAAAGCAGTTGAGTTGAAGGTAGTGTCTTAAGGATGTAGGCTGGGAAACCAAATTCTATTTGACAAAATAAGTTGAGGGGTTACATGACCTTTCTAGGCCTATTTTTCCTCATCTACAATATGGGAATATTAATCTCTGAGATCCCTATAGGGATTAAATTGACATATGTAAAGCATTTGAAAGTTGTCTGGCACACAGTGATTACTCATAAACATCAGTTTGGTTGTGTTCTATTTGTCATACCAGTGATGCCTCCTACTGCCTATTTCCTATCCATTTCATGGTGTCCTGTAAGAATTATAGTGGCTGGAAAAATTTGCCATCAGTTCAAAGTGCTGCCATGTCAACATGCCTAAGAAGCACAGTTTTTCCTTGAACAAAATTGGGGAGGGAATGCAGGGATGTAAAAGGAGTGGGACACTCATTCTTTGCTTTACCCAAGGTCCACACTCCTGGGAAGGTACTCTTTCCAAATACAGGCCACAGAGGGCTCATCCTGCCTTCTCTTTCCATTCTCAAGGAGATAAGGTTCTGGCTCCAAATTGGGAGAACACCTCAGTTGCACACAAAAGTTAGGAGTAAGAGTCAGTAATAGCACTAAGGCAAAGCTACCATGAAGCTGAAGCTGGTAGTTAGCACCCTCTTTCAAACTCAAGCTCTTTACCCCTTTGGTTCCCTCATAACTGCTTATCTTGGATGCCCTCACAAGACAGGAGTTCTTGAGTGCCATGATGTCGCTATCCTTTCTCCTTCCTCTCACCCAAGGTGGTAAGGATCCAAGGCTATCACAGAAGGCCCTGCCCTCCTGAACAATCACATCCCCTCACCTTTGCCCACTCCACTTCCCTGGCCCCAGAAACTTGGGGTCTTCCTGCCTGCCCCAACACACGTATACACACACATATACACATATACTGTACCATTTTCAGTATCTCACCTGAGCCAGGCTCTCTGCCTCCACAGTAAGTTCCTGGGAAACTAATTCATACTTTTGGGGAAAGTAGAATATTAATGGTTAAGTTCAAGAGCTTTGGATCCAGGAAGACCTGAGTTGGAGTGTTTAGACATAAATTGTGTGACTGGGCAACTTTCTTAATGTCTTTGAGCCTCATTCTTCTCTTTTGAACAGTGGGGATATCACATTCCTATTTTAGAGAGCAGTTGGAATAATTAAATGACATATGAATACAGTACTTAGCATGGGCCTGGTTTACAGCAGGCAATGAATAAATGGAAGTGATTGATGTTTTTGTACCAGTGAGAAGAGTTTAGACACAATATTGTCACTTTACCTCCTCTCCCTTTGCCGAATTCTGTCTTTTCTACCTGGTAAAATAACTTGTTTTATAGAGACAATGCCTTCTGTTTTGATGCCCAGAAGCCTGAAGGAGGAATTCTATTAGTAAAATAGAATGAGTCCAGCCTAATGAGCATTTTGGCAAACTAGCAAGAACAAGGATTGATCAACAAGAGGTCTAGACTATAATGCCTGCTGTGCCACTAACAACTCAGGCAATTTTGGGCAAGTCATTGTTCCATGAGAGCCATCAGTTTCTTCTATAAAAGGAAGACTTGGGTTAAGATGGGGTTTTAAATTCCTTCTGATTTTGATATGCCATGATTCTGTATGAAAAGGTTATTCTCTGAGTGAATTATTTATACTTAATAATCTGACCAATATGTTTTTTTCTTCTGAGATCTCTTATTGTGTAGCTTTATCTTCACATTTTTTCACCTGCAAATGTGGAGGTTGAAGAGACTATGGAGTGGTCACTCTAGGTTTGGGTTTCAGCACCACCACTTGGCTTTTGGCCAGTTATTTAACTTCTCTAGGCCTCAGTGACCTGTCTGTTGAATGAGGATCGACAGATGGGAGGTGTGAAGGTGAAAAGAGACAAAATAATTAGATGATATAACCCCAAAGGCTATAGTTTGTCTTATAGGGCATTAACAAGTTTTTTCTCTAAGTTGGCAAACTTATTTCAGAATCTCTCTCTTTATGGCCTCTAAATACCCTGTTACCATTATACTGGTTTCTTCATTAATGAATTGAATAGAATCTTTCACATGTTTCATTTTATTTTTTGGTATGAGAATCCTGTTTTTTACTTTTCGAAAATTGTTCAACAGGTACTAACTCTGCTCAATAGATTGACATTGGCAAAGCTTGCTTCGCTAGAAATGCTGATTAAGTTATTGAAAAAAGTAAACATGCTGCATTTGCATTTTTATACTCTCTGCCCCCTTCCCCATGTCAAGTGGCTGAAGCCAGACTCTGGGGGGGGTGAGGGTAGGGAAAAATCCCTTGGAGGAATCTCTACCTACTGGAAAAAGAAATAAGCAAGAATCAAGATGAGCCAGGCAGAAAGAGATACTTTCACTGTGTCCTTTACATTTATGACTAGCAAGATAATGAAGGAAGGTAATTCTGAAAGCTTTATGTCAGTTTTAACAATCCCTCAAGCACTGAGAAAGATAATAGTCAATGGATAGTGTCCATAAGGATTTTTTCCTCCTTCTCCCCTGACAGCCATTGACAGGATCATTTTGTATTTGCAACTACTGTCATTGGAGCGTGGAGAAAAGGCCCTGTAAGGCCAGGCGGATGAGGACGACTTCCCTGCAAGGATCTCTATTGTCATCACTATGGCAATAATAGTTACTATAATTTTCATTCTGCTTTTCCATAGAGTGTCTACTTTACGGAGCTTAAGGCTAAGGGATTTAGGTCACATAAAATCACACTAGCATAAAATCATGCTTTGTAATCTGCAAGAGTATCTTATAAAACTGCAAAGAGAACCTATGCAACAAGATTAAAGTAATTACCAATGCCGGTCACTTGACTAATGCAATTATTTATGGGATGCTAATAGCTTTTCAGAAGCTTTCAGATACAGTGTCAATTTGACAGCAGTTTTTTTTTTTTTTTGTTTATTTTTTTTTTCTTGTCTTTCTGTTTGGATTTTTAGACCACAGCCAGTTTTTTCTCCCGGAGGATTTTTTTTTTTTTTTGTTTGTTTTTTTTTTCTTGTCTTTCTGTTTGGATTTTTAGACCACAGCCAGTTTTTTCTCCCGGAGGACATGGTTTACCATTTGGGGGTGGGGGAATGTAAATTACTTGCAAATCAGCTCTCAGATATCCTCTGGTAGTTTCTCTTTATTAAATCATAAGGGCAGGAACCATGGCTTCTATTTCATTGTGCACACCCTCAGCTCCTAGCGCGCATATAGTTGAACTTCAACTCGAGACCTCAGACTCTGCCAACGCAGGGCTCTGCAGAAGGCTGCTTCGTGAATGAAGCGGGGAAGAGAGGAGCACGTGGGATCCTAGTGCGGGATGAAAAAGCACTAAGAGGGGCCTCAAGGTAGGGAGAAAGACAGCTGGAGACAAAGAAAAGAGGTGAAGACGAGAAAGACATGCAAAAAGGACGAGATAAACCGAGAAAAATAACGGAAGACGCAGACAAAATGAAAGGCAAAGTGGAGCGCCCACTGCAGCAGGCGAGCACGCGCGGAGACTACAGCCCCCAGAATCCCTTGCGGCGCTGGCTCCCCGGCATGTCTCCTAGGCAACCCGCTAAACAAGATGGCGGCCTACAGAGCTCCCTCTCTCCTGGGAGCCCCCGGCAGTTCACGAACTGGAGGCCAATCGATGCAGATGCGCTCAGGAAAAAAATCTCAACCTTCCTGGTCGTCTTTTCCCATGGGGCTAAAGATGAAAGGCACTTTCAGCAGGTCCTCCTCCTACCTGCTGCAGCAGCTCATGCACCGCTATCAGGAGTTGGACATGGACGGAGAGGACGAACAGGTCGAAGGGGAATCCGAAGAGTCCTCAGACTCCGAAATACAGAATCTGGAGGTGTGCCTTTCCCCACGCGCCCTCGCCCCCCACTCCCTGGTCTTCTCCTCCAGCGGTCAGGCGCTGCTACTTCAGCGGCGGCTCCCGACGCCTCCCTCACCAGCCCTAGGCTTAGCCCACACCTTCCCTGGCTCTCGCCTCCAGGAGCGCTTCTTCCTGGCGACTCTGGGGCCGCTCTTTTCTTCCCATTTCTCTTGCCCCATTTCCTCACCCCCTGCCTGAAATATCTCCGAACATCTCCTTTCTATTTCTTTAACACATTTGATTCCTTAGGAGTCGAGTTACGCAGTGTCCTTTTGAAAAAAGTATCGATATGTTTGTATGGGAGTTATGGCTTTAACTTTTTCAAACTTATACCCTGACAGTATTGTGAATAGGCAGGGTTCATCTCTGGCATCTCCAGCATCTGCTTCGTGTGACTTATGAAGTACTCCAGCACTCTTCCCCAGTTCTAGTTCCTTCAGCCTGCTTCTTGCAGGAAAAAAAAAAAAAATTACTCTCTTGAAATAATCTGATAAGTGCCTTAATAATCTGATAAGTGCTTCCTCAAAGACTAAGTGACTTAAAAGTTTAATATTACTTCTGCCAGGGGTATATGCCTCATGCAAGTAACAGGCACACACAACAGAAAGAGGCCATAGAATGAGAAATTCCTAACGTTCCCACCTGTATTGCTTGGCGTGGTCAATTTGCCTTTCACATGACTACAAATTCCCTCTTTTCTACAATACCCAACCTCTTTCTTACACTTATTATCATCCTTTCCTTTCTGAGCCCATTGCCTGTCCTCTTGTCCTTTTCCACATCTCATAACATCACTTCCTTCTCTTGGCTTCTAGTAAATTGTTTGCTTTCTTTCAAAAACCTGTTTGGATTTGCATTCTTTCAATACACTGTTAGGTTTTCCTCTTTGTCTTCTCTTCCAGGTTTTTCTCTCCCCTTTCCTTTTCCTTCATGGTATAAATTCCTTCAAAGTCTTTTCAGAAATATGTTTTCAATATCCTCGTTATGTGATATTCTTCTGGTTTTCCCTCTTTGCATCTTTACATCTTTTTCTAGTCTCTTTTCCTCCCTGGCACCAAACATGTTCTATTATGCCTGTACCCGTTCACAGCCTCCTTTCCTCATTTGTCTTATTTCTTCTCACTCTCCCCTCCCTAACCTGCAGCATTGTCTGTTACTCCAATTCTACTTTTAACTATTTCTACTCTTTCCCAACTTGGGTTTCACTTCTTTCGTGATGTTCTCTGTTCACTTTCAACATTTGGCTCATTTCTTTCCACCCTCATCCCCCATTTTTCTTTCCACTTCTTCTAATTCCTTCTACATGAGCTTGTTACAGTTTAGTTTGGCTTAAAGTTGACCATAGAAAGCTATTTCTTCTGCCACTATCAGAAGTTAGAATACTATTAAATATTATTTTCCTTAGTACTACTTTTGTCTTTTTTTGGTTTACTTTGCTACCTTTAAAAGTGACTATTGCAAAATGGTAGCAGTGTTTTCGCAACTTTGAGATGTTTGTATGGTTTCCACCAGCTTCCACCCCAGAGGAATTCACAAATGAGCCACCAGTATACTTTATTATTGTAATTAACACATATCTTTTCGGCTATGGGGTTCATTAGTACCATTGTTAATCTGTCTTCAGTATGCCATTAACAAACCATAGAAGGGGTAGACTTGAAGTAGTTTCTTTTTGGCTTGAGGATGTGTGTGGAAAAAGTTGCATTATCTCTTCCATTTACATTCTAAATGTTAATATTTATTTTGTATTCTTACATACTGTTTTGGCTTTCATAGTATTAATAAATTTTAATACGCTGAGTATACTGAAAAGTTTTAAAAGGAAACATTTGGACATTCATGTTCAATGATTTATTTTTCATATCTTAGCCTGGTTAAGATTTGCAATGCTATGATGATCACAATGATTATTATATGCCTGTAATGCAATTAGCCTCAAATCTCAGAAGCCCTTATGAATTTAAGGAAAGCAGTACAGACCAGCTGTTCAAAACACTGCCTCTGGAATTAAAGATTTCTATCTGAGGTTTGGTTTAACCTTTTGTTAGCTGCAAGTTACTTAACCTTTCTATGTCTCATCCGTAATGTGGGAATTAAAATATGTGTCTCATAGGAGAATTGTGAGAATTAAATGAGATCCTATATGTAAAATGCTTAGCATAATATATTTTTGATATGATTACTAACAAAACATGTAATAGTAACTTACATGTTTTTATCTGCTAACTACAGCCCATTAAGTGATTTCATTAATTTAGCCTTTATTGAGCAAAGATTTACTGATGATTGCTATGTAGGAAGCACTTTTTGACTATATACAGCAGAAGTGTCTGGGCCCAAAAACTGAAGAACAAAAACCGCTTTTTTTCCCAGTAACATAATGTGACTAATAATGCCTACTCATGGGATGGTTATGAACATCAAATTTAATAAGAAACTTTATATTACCATTCTTAATATAGTGTCTGATACAGAATAGACTCTCAAATTATAGATATAATAAAAGCAACAGTAATGACAGAAGATGACAACATGATTGAGGACATACATATATGGTCCCTGTTCTCAAAGTGAGATAATTTGAGTAAATCATAGTAATTCAGCCTCTGTAGTATACTATATGGAGTAATTCAGCCTCTGTAGTATGCTATATGTACAGATGACAACCCAATTGCAGGGATCATGGAAGACTTTAGGGGAAATAGACTCCGGTCTCGGTGGAGAGGTGGTGTGTGGGCAGGCAGGCAGCTGAAATTTTCCTATTGATGAGTTGTAGGTGAGAGTAGAAGCAGCAACCTAGATAGGGGCCAGATTCTGGAGGGCTCTGTGGACTTGAGTTGTACGGACATGGACTTGAGTCTCTAAGCAGTGGGAATTGCTTTATTGGCCAGGTGGGATTAGATTAGAGGATACTAAGACAGAGGCAGGTGGGATTAGATTAGAGGATACTAAGACAGAGGCAGGGAAATAAGTGGGCAGACTCTAGCAATATCTAGTGGGGAGGGAGAGAGTCTGGATTAAGGCAATGGGAATGGAAAGGAAGCTTAAAGAAAAAACGTATTTAAGATATTTAAGATGGGACAGTTACTAATTGAATATTAGAAGTGTAGGGTGAATGTTAGGCCTATGGCCTGGTCTGGGAAGATATGAAGGCCATTATCTACAATAGGAATCAGGAAACATGGAGCCATGTGTTAAGGAGTTGGATATATAAACCATAAGACTGGAAATCAGGAGGGGATCTCGGATTAGGTCTCCTGCTTATCTCTTATTTACCATACTCCTGAAATTGCTTGTGTAATTGTCTGTATCCAAGACAGTAAATCCCTTTCAGATAGGTACCATGTCTGTTTGCTTATTCACTTATTCACCATGTCTTATCCACTGAGCCTAGCATACTGGCCGGCATGTGCTAGGCATTCTATAAAGATTTTTTTTCCCTAAATGAATGATGAACATGATATAGTCCCTGCTTCAATGCAGCAGTTGAATGTGAACTTGATTCAGGTTTGGGTATGGGTGTGTGTAGTTGCAATCAGGGGACAAGTAGAGACTTGAGGGTAGGGAGAAATTGAAATTGCCCATAGGCTTCCCAGTAGGGAAGGGGGTACAGTCAGGAGAAAACCGACTCTGAGAAAGGGAAAGATGAACAAACTGGAGATTTTGTTGTGATCAAAGAACAAGTTCAGTAGGTGCTGCAAAGGTTGACACATAGGTAGTTGTGGGATTAGACAGTGGAATACTGGGGATGGAGGTTTCTAGAAGCAGTTTATCATGATGATTAACAAGGTCCAGAACATGGCCCTGGGAGTGGGTGGCTGAAGTTGGGTGGAAATCAAGTTTACATTGTCTGGAGTTGGGGCAGTAAAGAAATGTGTGTGTGTGTGTGTGTGTGTGTGTGTGTGTGTGCGCGTGCATGCATGCATGTGCTGGGAGTAGGGGTGTTGGATGGTCATCCATAGGGATTCTGATGCCAAGATAAGGGTAGGGTTTGTGAAGGTTTGAAAATGACCAAAGACCAGAAGGGGAAGGCATGATACTGCCAAATGGCAGGAATCTCAAAGAAGGTGTGAGGGGGTTGCTGTGCAAGAGTCTTGCCTTGGGAATCTGGGAAAATGCTGACAAGTGTGGCCTGTCTCCATGTCAGTAGCTACATTGAAAAACAAGCATCCACCTGCTATAAGTAAGGATACAATGCCTTCTTAGGAAATGGAGGGAGTCAGGTGAACTTCAGAGGTCTAGGTGGAAAGTTTTGGAGGGAAGGTAACATCCCTCTAACTCCATTCCTTCCTAGGTCTTATAATTTCTTAAAATTGGAACAGTATTAAGAAAAGTAAATGTGTTTCATTCTGTGAACAGGTTGATTGGTATAGATGAGTGAAACATTAAGATGTGGAATTTCTGACTTCATCAATTAGTAGTAACAATTGTCATTTATTGGGAACACTTGCTATGTACCAGGCACTGTGCTAAGAGTTTTGTATCTATTATTTTTTTTCTTTCTACCTAAAACATTTAAAGAGGATATAGAGGAGGAAAGACATTCTCTTTATTTCCTATCCTTAATACCCAGGTCTATACAATAGACTGACAATAGGCAGGTAATAGGAAAAAAAGATATGCACACTTATTAATTTTTAATATTATGTACATGGGAGCATCACAGGAAAAAATAAATGTGAATACCCAAAAAAAGTGGTGAGATTTAAAAACTTGTACACCATCTTAATAGGAGAAGGGGGGAAGGGGTATAGGTCACTTAGGGGAGAATAAATGCTTTTTGGGAAAGAGGGCTAGGCCCTTAGAAAAATAGATGGGAGACATGATAGTTTTTGACAGAATCTGTCTGAGTGTGATACAGACTTATAGACTCCTCTCCTCTGGTAAGAGTCAATCTTTCCTGTTTGATAAAACTGCCAGGGAGGGGATTTAGGACAATTGAGTTCTTTTTGGAGGAGCTGCCTTTAGGCAGATAAGGGGAGTTCAGAGAAAGCCTCTCCTTGCATTTGCTGTTTTTCAAGTGCCTTCAGCTCAAAACAATCAATATACTAAAGTAGCATATTTTGGGGTGACATATCCTGAACTCCTTCATAGGTAATAACATTTTCTATTTATAGGTGAAAAATATGAGGCTCAGTGAAAACTTTACCTACCCAAAGTCACACATCCAAAATGGCAGAGCTAGTGTTCAAGCCACACCTGCCCAATTCCAAAGCACATGTGCTATCTCAATGCAGGTGGTATTCGCTTCCCCAGGTTAGCAGACATTTGGGGGCAAAGAAACTCTTTACATTAGTACAAGCCTACATACGTATATCCTCAGTACCAAGAGCCTGAGCAGCTTTGTTGGTTTCTAAATTAACATAAAGGATTTGGAAAGAGGGTATTTTGCCGTGGTAGTCCATATGCTAGTCATGGTTACTTATATCAGTGATGATCTGGTTACTGCACTTTATGTCCTCATGCTGAGGTCAGTGTTAATATGCTAGCCATTATGGAGTTGAAGGAGGCACAAACAATACTGATCTACCTGTTATCTCTTCTCTCTGTCATTTCTGGGGAAAGGATGTGTTGGGCTGCCATTAGTGCCTGGGAGGTAGACCAAGGGCCAACCTCCTAATGGAAATGATCATCACTCTTTTAATAAATCTTATAAATATACTAAGTGCTGGATATGAATCTAACAAAATTAGCCAATAGCAAGGGAACTGAGGACCTGTTTTCTTTAGCAAAAATACCAAATTTAAAGAAGCAATTGCCTTAATTTGATGTAACCATCCTTTGGAGTATGGGCAAGCAGTCAAGTGTAGTGATTAGGAGAATTGCTCTTGGGTCAGATAGATTAGGGTTTTCATTCCAGTGCTGTCACATACTATACATGTGGTTTTAGGCAAGTTAACCTCTAAACCTTAGTTTTTCATCTGTAAAGTGGAGATAAGAACACCTACCTCAGGGTTGTCAAAAGAATTAAATGAGCCAATCCATTGAGAGCTCTTAGCACAGTGCCTGGAATGGAGACACACTCAATCAATGGTAGCTATCGCCATTACTACTGATGCTGCTTCTGCTACAGTGTTCACTTGACTTTGACTGCCTAATGCAAGTGACCTCCTGAAAGTTCAGTGGCAGTGAAAACACTGATTTGGTAGATATTTATTTAATTACATGTAATATGCATATGTCCTCAACACAGAATTTTCTTTGGGGATGGTAAATTTTGAAGGGCAGAGCTCCTGGGTATAAAATATACTAAAGATGTATTAGCCATGACAAAGTGGATTGTTTCTTTTCTAATGGGAAGCCTTTCTTTGTCCACCTCTGTGGGTTTTTAGCTGGAGGAATTTGATGGGGTCCTGAAAGAAGAGGCTGTGGCTGCAGCAATCCATCAATTGGGACGCTCAGGCCCTGGGACTGAGCAGGTCTACCTCAGTCTAACTTTATCGGTGAGTATGACAAAATCACTTTGGTGGGCTACAGCTTGACAGGGAACTAAACCATATTCATTTTCTTTGGTACTCATAGCTTTTGTGGTGGCAGCAAATCTCAGAGCCTTGCATTTCATGGAGACTGGTGATAAGAGATATTTATGTAAATATTAGACTTCAAAGAGCCCTGGCCAATCTAGTAATCAGCCCCTAGATTCCTTTGTTTTCATTCTCTTCACACTTGATTTCTTTCATCTTAAGTAGTCTATATTATAGTAATCAATGCTTTCTTTCCAGAAGGTTGAATTTGATTCTGTAAAACCAATCAAAGACTCTTTAAGAATTTTCCGTCTGATCAGTAGAAGCAGCACTGAAATTTATATCTGAATCCAAGGGAACAGAGAATTTTGATATTGACTTTAACCCCCTAAGTATGTCAGGAAATAAGTGGCTTTGAGCTATATCTTACTTTCCAAAAGATATCTATCATTAAAGAAAAAAAATCTCAAAAATTGATGAATAACAATAGATTTCAATACTACTTATAGAGTAGCACAAAATCTTGGCTCCCATTTTATCATAAGAGAGGCTATAAGAGCAGACTACTCAGAGTACTTAATCTGCTTGCCTTGTTTGTTTCTCTGTAGTTTTACAAAAATAATTTAATTCCTTTGGCTTCCTTGTGTTGTAAAGCATTAAATATTCCTTGGAGATCTGTAGAGTAAATGCAGATAACATAGGTGGGGGAAAAAAAAGCACATTGAAATTTTACTGTAACACCATGCTTTGGCTACAGTGTATATAATTGATTATAAGACTGTTCTGTCTTAGACTTGAATTAGTACACTATTCAAGAAACGTTAAGCTATTTTCACCCACGCTGGTTTCATGGCATGCCCTTTGAGGTCAACATATTAAGACTATAATCTTTTACTATTTTCACTTTATAACATTTTATGGATGATTCTGCCAGTCAGGTAATAACATGCAGGGAGCATCCTGTATATACTGCACTATGTTAGACATTGGCATATGCTATATAATTCCAGCAGCCAATGCACCCCCACACACGTCCCTTTCAATCAATATTCTACTTATGTACATAGAGCTATGCCTTAAATTGATCTACGCCTCAAAGCAATCCTTTAAATCTTATTTCAGCTAGATGGACTGAAACTTAACTTATTTTGCCACTGACCTCCTTACATTTGAGATATTGCATGTTGAATTACTTTGCCTTAATAACCTGTCTTACTGAATACACTTTTTTAGGGTTGCCTGATTTAGTGATTATTTTTCCCCTTTATATCTTATTTATATTGCATGTTATTTTTTACTTTCCCTTATTACTTGTGTATGTATCTTTTTTTCTACCAAAGTCCTAAGTTTCTTAAGGGTACAGTATAGCACTATCCCATTGTATTCCTCATCATGACAAGCACACTGCCTGTACATAGTAGATATTCAGTAAGTATTTCTTACTATTATAGCAGTCTTCATTAAACAGTCATCATTATTCTGTATGAGAACTTGCTTATAATGATTCTTCATTGGTTGGCTTTTTTCTGACTCTGACATCACAGCATAAACCAGTAATATGGTTCCATGGGACCAAATTCCCCCCTAACTTCACTTGAAGTTCACTAGAAGCATTATTCATGGAAAGATTTTTGGACAAGAATTCAGGAGACTTGGATACTGGTTCTCTATCACTAACTTGCTATGTGACTTCAGGCTGTTTACATACCTCTCTATACTTCACACCCTTCATCTCTGAATTGGGAATAAGCTGCCCTATAGATTTCACAGGTGTGTTTGATCAGATGAGATTATTGTGAAAGAGCTTTGAAGAGGAACCCCGTGAAAGTGTAGGTGGTATTGTTATTAATGATTTCCTGATCAGGTGTGAACTCTTTAAAACTTCATTTAAATTCTAGGCCTTTGCTTTTTGTTTTCTTCTACTAGATAAAGGCCTTGTCTTTATTGCTATTATTTGGCTTTTTTAAGAAAAATGTGAAACTCTGCTCTAACATCTCCATGAACACTGCTTTAATTGGCCTTTTCATGTTGTATTCGTTCTTGCTAACAACACTAATTTTCTAAGCTGCTATTTTCTTCATAGGAATGCAATTTTTTTGGTGGGATCTATAGTCTGTTTTGAGGTCGTATTCATAGTAGGCTTCAGATTTTGTTCTCTCACTTCTATATTTTTGAAGAAATTCTGGGTTTCTTTCCATCAACTATTCTTTCCAGATGTTGCAAGAAGGCTGAGTACTAATCTCTTAAAACAATATTAAAGCCTTTTAACTTTTTTCCCCCCTCAGGGTTGTGATTTAATTGACGTTAACATTCTCCGTGAATATGTTCACCTACAGAAGTTGGATCTTTCAGTGAATAAAATTGAAGGTATGTAATTGTCATTCTAGATTGATCACTGAATTATTTTAAAATTTAAGTGTTGCAGTTTGTAATACAGTTTAATATTGCCAAACTTGATATAAGTAATCTGTGGATCAATTTACATATGGATCCTTTGCTTTCCATGCAAAAACAGGCACCAGTGATTGATGAATAAAGAAAAAGGCAGAAGTCTGAAATATTATATGGTTGAGATGTGCTCCACAATATTTAAGAATATGAGATGGAATGTTTGCTTTATCTTTTCCTTTAAAGAGATCGATCATTACTTCTTCAATACTTTCTGAATGTTTGATGATTCCTTTTCTTTCCCTCTATTAGTTGATATTCAGTGCAAATGAATTAGTCTTTTTTTTTCCTTTACTGGATTATTTTCCTTATTTTGTTTTTGCATTTACATTTTAAACCTGGTTAGCTCTCCTATTCTTAGTATTTGAGCACCAGGGATTCACAAATTAATTTCTTCTCCTCTTTTTGCTGTCTTTATTTATTTAGTTGATTCTTTCAAATCTAACTTCACCATTTGTAGTTCTATATATTTGTTATGACATCTTGTTCACATTTAATGAAATTAGTCCTACAATTGTCATATTTTCTTCAAAGCTTGATCCTTGTTTCTAATTTTGTGATCTTATTTGAAGTTGACAGTGTACAATGTTTGTCTTTAGATTTCCAAGGATGTAAGCAAATCATTACTTTTGACCTGCTTTCTTCACCAATAATCTTTCTACTTGTTTCTTTTGCCTGCCTTTTTTATGACAATTAAATGTTGCTGATATGCTCTTCTGTTTCATTTTTCTGATTTTTCACCCTCATATGGCACTAATAATCAAAATTTACTCTTTTAATGGCTAAGAAATATTCTAGCTTGTTTTTATTTTGTAAATGCTGTTTTTGAAAGACTTTTATTATTTTTTTCTAGTTTTATAAAGCTTTATTATGGAAAATTATAAACACACACAAATAGAATATTGGAATGAGCATTGAGGTTTAACAATTATCACTCCATGGCCAATCCTGTTTCATCTGAACCTCCCTGCCCCTTCCCTAGGCTTCTTTTAAAGCAAATCTCAGATTATCATATCATCAGAAAGCCTTTTTTTAGTGTTTCTGACAGGAGCACTTTGCCTACTCCACATCTCCTAAGGTCAGTCTCATTCACTAGATAAGAAATTGCAGAGTGGTGGGAGGCTTTAACAGTGCTTAGTGCTAACAAGGGAAGAGATTTGACTTCATACCTTTGCCACTTGAGCAGGGAGCCCACAGTTACGATCAAAGCATTCCTTTTAGCTGGATCAGTCTTCATTAATCATGTACGGCTCATTTCATTAATTCATCAAGTGTTTGAGAGCCTACTGTGTGTAAGTACATTTTTCTTTTTGTGTTGACAGCCTTACTAATGTTCTCATATAGACCAAATTTCAGCTTGTATCATATTCACCTGGGGAGCATGTTAAAACAGATTGCTCAGCCTCACCCTCAGAGTTTCTGATTCAGTATATTCAGGGGAGGACCTGAGAATTCGCATTTTTAATAAATTCCCCGGATGAATATGATGCTGCTGGTCTAGGACCACACTTTGAGAACCACTGAAGTAGACACGAGGAGCTCCTGCCATCTAGTGGAAAAAGGGGGAACTGCACTGAGTAGGGACGGCGGACTTGCTCAAGCTACAAGTCCAGCAACCCAGACCAGGTTTTTTTGTGGGTTTTTTTCTGTTAAATGCTTTGGAAACATTGACTGTATACAAAGTGTGAAATATACACACCACTTCTTTGTCTCTAGCTAAGTACTAGCTGCTGCTTTTAGACAAGATCTCCATGGTACAAGAATTTACCTGCTCTGAGAAAGATCAGCTCCAAGCCGGAGTCTGAGGCCCAGTGGACAGTGTGGAGTTGAGACCCTCACTGACAGACATGTAGCTGAGCTCAGAAGGGACAAGTAGATATGGACTGTAAAGCAATTACAGGTTTCCTCTCGCAGGCAGCCTTCCTTGATTTGCTCATTAATTTCCACCTGTGTTAATGTCTCCATGTATTGCCTTTCCTGGAACTATTTAGATTTGGTAAAGGTGGGTATGGTTTAGTCCAGAGATATAAAATAGAAATTGGTGGGGATTTTCTGGCTTTAGTGGCCCTTGGGAAGGAAAGATAGCAGGAGGCCCCCTCACGCTGCCTGCCTCACCTGCCCCAGGGCAGGGCCCCGCTGCCCTGGCCGGCCGCCTTCTCCTGGAGCATGTGTCTGTACCACCTGCAGAAAGGTAGAAGCACTGTGCTTGGCTGCAGGTGTGGAGATTCCATTCTCCCACAAGGGCCATCCCCTCATTCTATGATCTAGAGTAAGAGAGAGGGAGACACTATTCCCACTGCCGTTTGCAGGTAGAGAAATGAATTGTTGGTAGAGACGGGGCTGCAGCCCTTACTCTGTGAGTCTTGCTGATCCCTTCCCTAATTCATTCTGCAACCTCAAAGTATGCCTGCTGTAAAGTGGCCGAGAAAGGCAAAACAATACTTCACAACTTTTACAATTTATATGTAATGTCATTAGGAGTATCCTTTATTAGCACAATAATCCTTTACTCAGTATCCAAAGCTCAGAATATTTGCTTGGGATAAAATGCAAAACTCAGATGTACTTTTGAACCAGTACAGAGTCAAAGTAAAATGATAGCAATGATTTAAATCACTTCAAATCATTAATGATATTTAGCATTAAGTCCAACTGAAACAAAATTTAATTTACAACAAAGAGAGTTTCCTAATCGTAGCATTTCCAGTCTTTCTGAAAAGACCTAATTCAGTTATTTAGAGGCTAATTATCAAGAGGATTATCTAAGGCTTTAGCTTCTCATCCTTTCCTCTAAGGCTGGCAAGTTTGGAAGCATTTGAGCATTAGCAGATCGTGGGAGAGTGAGCAGAGACATGGAAGAGGCCTCAGCCGTTGGTTACTTGGCTGTCTGGGAAATAGGGCAATGCAAGATGTGGGCAGGCCCTGGGGAATAAGCTTGAATTATTGGCTCATCAAGAGTTTTCCACACTTTTGTTTTTGTATATTTCACACAGTCCTGATTTTATTCATCTGCAATAATTAAGATGTGCTTGTAACTGATATAATTAAGAAATATACTGATGTAACATATGCTGTTTTTAATGCCTTTGTCTAGTTATTTTATTGGCTTACCTTAATCTGCATCTATTCCTCCCCCAGATTTGTCTTGTGTCGGCTATATGCCTTATCTTCTAGAACTTAATGCTTCTCAAAATAAACTGACTACATTCTTCAATTTCAAGCCGCCCAAAAATCTCAAGGTAGATTTTATTAATTAATACTATTTACAAATGTTAAGTGGTTTGCAAAGTGCATTCAATAAGCTAAATAGCACTAAAATAGAGGATTCAGAGAGAATAAGGTATGGGGCAAGTAGTGTAAGTGTCTGAAATGAAATAAAAAAGAAGGCTCTGTGTAACATTTATTTTGGAAAAGGGAGATGATCTGTCAGTGGATAGTCTTTTCAGGAAGCTTTGCTCAAACCTAGTGTTCAAACCAAAGAACTTCCTTCTGTTCTCTTTCCTTCATTTAAACAGTAATTATTATTGCATTTTTTGTTACAGTAGAATAATTTTATCTGAAAAATTTTATATCTGAGAAATCTGTAAAAATTCTCCTAGAGGCTCCAACTTTGCTCTTTTATTTATCCAACCTTTACCTTTTAAGAAAATAATGCTTTCAGATCTTCATTCTTGTTTCTGTGCACTTGCTTTTGAATTGCTGAAGCAGAAATAAACTACCTGTGAACTGTGGCTGCTGGAACAGTTTGCTGAGCCCTAGAGCAGTCCATCTCCTGCTATGATGTTGCCCACATCACCTGTGGTTCTTGTGGAAGGAAATCCCTACCTAGAGGGTCTGGGGTGGGGCCTGAGACTGTGATTTCTAAATACTTTTCAGGTGATGTCATTGCCGCTGCACTATAATCACACTTAAGTAGAGAGGTCATAGAGAAGTAGGTGCCCAAATTTTCTGCATTGGACATAGAGAAGGTTTAAGTCCTACTGATGCCTGAATCCACTGCCTTAAGTGGATTCTGACTTAAGTAGTTCAAGGAAGGTCTTGGGCTTTGGATGCTTTAAAAGACCCCCAGGTGGCTCTAATTTGCTGACACATTTGGGAACCATTGCCACAGAACTTGTGATTAGAGTTCTTGTATTGGACTCAAATTTTTTAAAAATTTTATTCGTTCATCTGGTTTTTTTTTTAGAGACAGGGTTCTTACCATATTTCCCAGGATAGATTCGTACTCCTGGGCTCCTGTGAGCCTCTTTCCTCAGCCTTCTGAGTAGCTGGGACCATAGGCTCACACCACTGTGGCTGGCTCTGGACTCAAATATTGTATTTAATAAAAAAGTTATTTTAAGGAATGGACATCAACTATTGCCTTTTATTATCTTAATGTTATTTTATTTACAAACTAAATTAACTTTGATCCAGAATACTCTATGGAGGCTTGCACAAATATGAAAATCTGTCTGAAATTAAGAAGCTGACATTCCCTATACTGATAGTAAGACCTCTTAATTGAAAATTTTTTTTCTGTTGTTTCACACCACTCCTTATTTGTCATTAGTATGTTTTTTCCCTTTGAAGTTATAGTTATTGCCAGGGTGTCATTCTTTTGTACAAATAAGCCACATTAGGTGCCTATTTGTACTCAGTGTGGAGCTGCATGATCTCAAGATTATCAGGAATTGTGTTTACAAAGTTGTTGTCATTCTTCTTTGCTGTCCCATTGCCATTGGCTTTGCCTTATGTCGCAGGGAAATGGGTGATGGCAACAACATAACCCCTCCTCTGGGAAGAACTTTTTTGGAGTTTCTTCCATTGACACCCCTATCCAAAAAAGACCCCACAAACAAACAAAAACAAATCATGTACCCAGAGCTCCTGGAGAATTAAGAATAAATATATTGGTAACTGCAGAGGAGTGTATACTATGGGGCAGACTGCCCCATGAGACATTGCCACCCAGTATGAACTCCGTTTGGCATTGAGAAGGAATGACTGAGACATTCCAGTGTTTTCAATGCATTATCTTATTTAATCTTCCCAATAAATCTGTGAGGCCATTGATCCTGTCCAATTTTACAAATAAATACACTGAAGCACAGAAGAGTAACTTACTTAACTTTTGCTGGAAAGTAACAGAACTGGGATTGAACCCAACATCTGAGGCCCTCAAAGCCCATGTCTTTCCAGTAAGTCAGGCTTGTGTACTAGGTCCCATCCTCTTGAGAAACTCTACTTCCTTTTCGTTTAATATTTCTTTTTCTTTTTTTTTTTTTTTGAGACAGGATCTCACTCTGTCATCCTGGGTAGAATGTAGTGGTGTCATCATAGCTCACTGTAATCTCAAACTCCTGGGCTCAAGCAATCCTCCTGCCTCAGCCTCCCAGGTAGCTGGGACTATGGGTGCGTGCCACCACACCCAGCTAATTTTTTCTATTTTTTATAGGGACAGAGTCTCACTCTTGCTCAGGCTGGTCTCAAACTCCTGACCTCAAGTGATCCTGCTACTTCAGCTCATTTAGTATTTCTGAGCCTTGTACTACCAACCAGAGAGAGCATGCATTTCCTAGACAGCAGGGACTTGTACTTGCACATTTTGTGTATATGTCAGAATGCTTTTGCTCTCAGTAGGTAAAAAAATGTTAGTTTTGATTTGATGGGTATTTCCTTGAACTCTGTTCCAATGGGAGTCTGAGCAATATCATAATACCTTTAAGGTCTCTCAATAAACCTAATATCATAGGTAAATAGAGGGCATGGTATTGGCTATAGCTCTGACTGAGGTGTAGATAGCCATCATGCTATGGCACAAGAATGAAATATGTTGATGAGAAAGTATCAATTCTAAGTAACCCATATAATGATTTGTTTATTTCTAGTCCATTATTATTATATAGAAGAAAAAAGTGAATGTTAAACTCCATTTACTCATGCCAAACTAACTTATTTCACAATTTACATTGTATATAGCTGCCATTTATAATATATAAATTTGATGTTCTCATTTTTTTACTTAACACTATTTTATTTGCCTATTTCTATTTCTTCACATGGTTTATAAACTGGTATTTTACTATGTTTTCCTGTTGCTACATTATAATTAACCAGTTTTCTATTCTTGCCACTTGAGTTGTTTCTACATTATTTTTTAGTATTTAGTATATAAAGTTTTTAGTATTTAAAGTATTTCAGTATTTATTTCATTACTAAAATAATCTTAATAAATTTTGGGAGTGGAATCACTGTCTTAAAGGGCATGAGAAGATAAGAATAGTGGGCTTCTAATAATTGCTAAATACATAATTGCTTGACAGCTTTCTAGAAAATGATTATAATGTGCCCAGCAAGTTATCAATGCAGTGTTTCAAAAACTCATATTTTTTTCTTTTTGTAAAATAATTAAAAAAAATTATTTAATGTTTTTTAGTCTTGTATTTTTGACTAGGAACAAGAGATGTTGCTAAAAATGGTTTCCTCCAATAGTCAATTTTGAGAAAGGATGTAAAGTTGAAGTATGGCCTGAGGGATGAATAAGAAAGACTTATTCTGGCACTTAGGGAATGACATGGGAAAATATATTGAGATAAGAATAGAAAAGGCACAGAAAAGGAAATCAGATATGCACATAAACTAAGTGAATCCGGTTTACTGGGCATTAGGGAAAATGAAATGGTGATGGGTAAGGGTGTAATTGAAGTAAATTCTGAGGGAAGATCAAGAGAGTTTAAAATAAATACTAAAAATGGAGGGAGAATCTATAGGAATTGAAACTATTTAGATTATTAGGAGGTTCTTGTGGGCCATGAGGAAGGGGTTTCCCTCTTATTATCCCTCAAAGTTGGCAAAGATCCCAGTTACACAATGGGATTAAAGATGAATCTTTTAGCCTTAGTATACTTTCAGTAAGGAATTCTAAGTTGACTTCCATAAATACTTTTTTCATGTACAATTAATTATTGTGCTGCATATGAATGAAAAATAAAGTATAACATATTATTCTTTTTTTCTTGCCAGAAGGTGGATTTTTCCTACAACCAAATTTCCGAAATGTGTGATCTGTCGGCATATCGTGGTCTCACTACGCTAATTTTGGACAGTATCCTTTGAATGAGTAAAGAGCAAAATGAAAGAAGTAAAATGAGAAAATGAAAATTAAAGGGTACATATTAAATAATATATACCAGATCACATAGAGTAGTACCAGATAATTTACTAAAGATGTGTGCTCATTTAAATGATTAAGAATTGATTTTCACAAAATGAGGAGAGAGATTTTGTTTGCCGAGGAATAAAATTGTGAGTCAAAGCTTGCCAAGACCATCTTACCCCTGAAAAGCCAAGATAGTCATTTTTCTGTTAAATGTAGACTTATTCTTAATTCTAGAACCAGAGAAGAAGTTCTGTTTTCATTAGCTACTTTCTTCAAATTTACTTTACCTGGTGCCCTATTTTATATAATAAACTTAGCATTTGAAAATTCAGATATGGTCATAGGGAAAATGAGTAAATATTTTACAAAATAGGTCATACTAAGTTCCCTTTAAATAGCGAGACTTTCTAATGTATTTGAAATATGCTTTCATTTAAAAAACAGCTTTTGATTTGCAGTCAACTTTAGGAACGTATGTATCTCGTGAGCCAGGCTCCATGTAAACAAAGTGTACCTACTTTAAAGGCAGTGAGCTCCAATTTCTAGAGACTAAGGGGCTAACTGGGGACCTGTGAGTTTAATGAGCTCGAGTCTTTTTTGTACCCCAGAGACTGATGTTCTCTGGGTCACAAGAGAGTAGTGCCTTCTCTTTCTCAGTGCGTATCTTTCTATCCACCTGAGGATTTTTCAGGGCAGAATGGAGAATGATTTGATCACCCCTGGGTGCCTCATTCCAGGGATGTGGCAGCAGCTAGTATTGCACTATGTTTGTAATAAGGCTGAGATGAGGAGAGAATGGAAGGTGCATGTTTTTGAAAGCATATTTTGTAAAAGAACCCTTTTTCCATAGATGATGGAAAGCTTAGAGCATAGCACCACTCCCTTAAGAACTTATGTGTGAAAATGGGCAAATAGTAGACATTTAGGTGGTGCTTAAATGAGCAAGTTCTCCTGATTGTAGCCTAATAGAGAAATCAGAAAATGATCACAATGAAATGTTTTGATTACAAACTAGAGGTATTTATTTTAGCAGCATCTCTCTGTAGAACCTTCACTTCTTGCTTGACAGTCATATGTATCGAATTTGCAAAGAGACAGTCTGACAGCCCAGAAGCTGTCTGGCTCACAAATCCACTCATCTTAGGCTGTGTAGAAGGGTGCTGCTCCAGGAAGACCACCAACAACAGTGTCGCCTGAAACTTCTTAGTAATGCAGACTCTTGGGCTCTACTCCAGCCCCAAGAAATCAGATTCCTCATTTTGACAAGACCCACCCCTCTAGACAATTTGAGCACACATTAAAGCTTGAGAAACACTGATTGGTCTAGAAGTCAGCAGCCCCCTAAACTCCTGCTAGCCAGGAGAGATTCAGCAACCAGTTCCCTGAATGAGGAACATGATAGTCTAGAGTCTGATATGGAGAGTTCTGTCTCCCAGAGAAACATTCTCCCACATACAGCATGGAATTGCCAAAGAAAACAACTCCACTGTATTTTGGACTCGAAATATAGTTTAAAACATTTCCATCATGAGTCTTCGCTTCTTTGTAAATTTAGCTTTCCATGTAAAAAACTAAAGTATTATGACTTTATAAATGTCACATATCATGAAGAAAGGAATTAGGTTTTTTTTTTCTTTTAACTTGACATTAGATTTAGCAATTGAGTCTTATCACTGAAGTATAAAAAGCTATAATTATTATATCAGAACCAACTGAAATTCAGAAGATGGGTATATAATTAGAGTGTAAAATGACACCATTCCTCACCTGTGTTTTTAAAAAATATAAGACAAGTAGCCAAAACAAACTACCCTTTATAGACTATTAATGAAATAAACTTCTTGCATATCTTGCAGTTTTAAAAAGATAGTAGGCTAATTTCTAAACAGTACTAAATATGCTTCCTTCTCTTTTATTCTGTTCAACCATATATTATGTGTGATGCCGGTGGTGGAGTTTTACAAATTTTTCTGGACAGCTAACAGTAAAAATGTATCTGACAAGATTATAAATTAATCTATTTAGGGGAAAAAAGCACTAGATGAGATTGGTTTTTGAAAAGACTAAAAAACTTTAAATGAGAATAAAAGGAATTTTAAAACAACTTTTATGCTAGTACATTTGAAAGCTCAGATAAAATGGACAAATTCCAAGAAAAATTTTATGCATCAAAACACTGATTTGGAAATAGAAATCCTGAGTAGTCCTGTAACTATAAAAATAATTCATTATAAATTAAAATAAACTAAATTTAAAGATTAAAAAAATCTTCCTAAAAAGAGAAAAACCCAGACCCAAACTTTCAAGAACAGACCTTCCAATAAAGAACAATTTTTTTTCAAACATTAAAAACATAAGGCATATTCACAATTCATTCTTCTGAGGTTACTTTAATATCCAAACCAGACAAGGAATAGTAAGAGAAAGGAAAATGGCAGGCTTATTTCACTCATGATATAGTTGTAAAAATCCTAAATAAAATGTTAGCAACTGAATTTGACAGGGTATTAAAAAAATAATATACTCTGACGAAATTGGGTTTTCCTCAGGAATGTAAGGATAGTTTAATATTAGAAAATCTATAAATATCAACTATATTAACAGGTTAAAGGAAATAAACTTTATGATCAATGATCAATAGATAGGGAAACTCAACAGATATAGAAAATTTAATAAAATCCAGTACTCATTCATAATAAAACCCCTCAGTAAATTAGTAATGGGGAATTTTCACAACTTGATAAGGAATATCTATAAAAATATTTGAAACAAACTTTATCCTAAGTGGGGACATGTTCTAAGCATTCTCCTTTAACACTGGGAAGAAGTTAAGGATAATCACCATTGCCGCTTCTATCCATTGTCTTAGAGGTCATAGCGAGAACCATAAAATAGGAGAAAGAAATTAGAGGTCTAAAGATTGGAAAGGAGAAAATAAAAGTTATTCTTTGCAGATGACATGTTTCCCTACAGAGAATACAAAAAAGACCTTGGAGTAACTACTAGAAATAATAGAGTTTTAAGAGTTCAACAAGGTGGCTGGATATGACTTCAATAAACAGAAATCGTAGCATTTCTTTATACCAGACACAAGCAATTAGAAAACATAACTTTATTTTTTTATTTTTTAAATTAAAATTTTTTAGAATTTCAAAATACTAAAGGGGTACAAATGTTTTTGTTACATGTATAGCTTTATCATGTTTTAGTCAGGGATATAAGTGTGCCTATCACCTGAATATTGTTCATTGTACCTGTTAGGTAGATTTTTACCCCTCCTCTCCTCCTCCTGCCTCCCTCCTTGATTTCTAATGATTTAGAAAACACAATTTTAAAAAGAGACACCATTAATAAGAACAATAAAATGAATCTTATTATAGGCAAATAAGACCTGTGGGGGGAACATAGTAACACTTTATGGAAGAGTATTGAAGACCTAAATGAAGAGGAATATATTCTATATCCTTTGATAAGATGGTCACAATAAAATGAAAAAAAAATTTATGGAAAATCAGATAAAGCTGGTAAGCATGTGAAGAGATATCAACCTCATTTGTATTCACAAAACTGCAACTCAAGACCACATGAGATACTATTATATCCATTCAATTATATCCATTCAATTGACAAAATTTAAGAAATCTAAAAATACCAAGTGTTAGAAAACACATAGATCCAGAGGATCTCTTTTTACCCTGTTTGTGGGTATGAAATTAGTTTAACCACCTTAGAAAACAATTTTATATTTTACAGTTGAACATCCAAGTTTACTATGACCTAGTACTTTCATTCCTACATATGGGAAGCTTAGCATACATGTACATGGAGGCTTGTATAAGTACATTCATAGCAGTATTGCTTGTAATAACAAAAAATTAAAACAGCCCAAATGCTCATTGCTAAAAGAAAGCATAACTTACAGTGTACTCGCAAAATAGCATATCATATAGTAGTGAAAATGAATGAAATATATCTATATACAGTGATGAGGATGAACTTTAATAAAAATAAATATAATTTAGGTATAAAACTAAAGGAGGAAGGAAACAAAAAAGAGAAAATTGAGCATAGCGATAGTCTCTGAGAGGGAGACACAAGGATTCAGCAGGAGAGGTGTGCAGGGCTAAATTTAAGTTTTTGCTAATGTTCTACTTCTTGGGCTTGGCTAAGGGGTAGTTTCAAGAATATTCATTATATTTTTAGGAGTAAATAAAAGTAGGCCACACATGGGCCAATGACGAATCAAGAATTAAGCTAACCCAGTTCTATGTAAAAATTTAAAAACCTGAAATTTTAAATTTCTTTGAACATGATTATCTAAAATAAAAAATCAATCAAGTTAATACTAATAATATGATTGTAATAGATTATGTTAATACCTCAGAATGAATTGGTAACTATAAGACATCAATTTTTAATTTCATCTTATTCTATTTTGTCCTTCCATGTGTGCATAACTGATGATTGATTGGTAATTATCCTAAATTGCAAGATGATAAGCTTTGCCACAGTTAAGTAAATGTATTTATTCTTAAGAAAGAATGCAGTTGATTCTTTATAAACATTGACTGGTTGTTTATTAAAATTTATTTTATTATGACAGAATAAAAATTTTCTAGAATTTTAAATCCAGATGATTTTAGAGATCATCTAGTGCTAGCCATTATTTTACATATTTTATAAAAGAGGAAACTGAGACTCACAGAGGGTCAGCAGCTTGCTAGTAATTATTTTGGTAAATAGTTAAACTGAGTCTAGTCTTCTGAATCCTATTGTTTTTTTCCCATGCTGCAATTCATTGAGTAATTATTACTTTTATCATATAGCCATTTAAACTGTATGCATGTTTCAGTTCTTAGAGAGATTCACTCTTACAGTGAAGAACATTTTTCACTGGTATGGTGATATAGATCTTTCAGGATTGGTTTTGATTAAAGCCATCATTGCAACTCACTCCACTAAGAAAATTGTGATGGATTTCCTACTTATTTCTCAGTAACTGTTTTCTATACACCTGAACCATATTTTATGATTGTAGACAAATGAATAAGATCGAATACTGAACTAGTGAATAATTCATGTCAAGCATTGTGAACTACTGACAGCATCGCCAAAATATAAAAATATATTCTTGGGCTTTTCCCTTGTTGTAAAGTTACGCTCAAGTGCCTACGCTCAAGAGTTCCTTCATTCAGTTTCCACAAGGATCTCAAATTCTACTGTAAAAGATTTATTCACAGAATTGTAAAAGTTTAGAACTGGAATGCAGTATGATGACTTTGAGTTCTTTGAGTCTATTAAAATATACCTAAGAGTATTAACCCAGTAAGCTAATTCATCGTAGTAGTTTAGTGATCTATCAGATTACATTTCTTCTTATTGGGAAGTCCCAAGACCTATGAAAGAATATGAAAGAATAATGTTAGGAGTAAAGGCAAGTAATGTTTCATGAAGGTTCTTAAGAAAACGGAAGGTTGGGGAGATAAAGGTATTCTTGGAGGCCAGCTGTGAACTCACTTCCGCATGGCCTAGTCCTGCACGTTGACCGCCAGCATTGCTGCCAGGCACACATGTGACTGTGGGAGCAATGGGGGGGGGGGCGGGAAGCTGCTGTGTCACTGTAAAAATACTCTTTACTCAAGAGCTGGATTAATTTATAGTGCCTGAAATTCCCTGAAATTTAAAGGAAAGTGCCAAGTTGGGAAATAGGAGACAATTTTTCTGAAATGAGCGTATTTCTCAACAGAGATGTTCAGTCAATTCCTGACCTTTTGCTGCTGTGCAGGGAGTGGAGGTCGCACCTGCAGACACCACGGCTGTAACTGCAGTGAGGTGCCGCTACCCCTCCTGCTTTTCGCCCTTGCAGTGCTAATTTCAGAAAACATGCCTAGCTATAGTAGTCAAAGCTAGATGTACCGAAAGAACTGTGGTTAGCTTCTGATGTCTTGGATAATTGCTGTAGACACAATGCACAAGTTTTCCTTTTCAGTTCCTGATGTATTTCTTGATAGTTTCAGGATCCCTCTTTATTAGTTTTCTGATCCTCACCTACTTGCTGTGGGAAAGCTTCCTGTCCCAGCTACCCACAAGCATCTGTCCCCTCTGCCACCATTTCGAATATCTTCATCTTGGTTGGAGTGGAGCGTCCAGGACACTAGTGCTCCTGAAATAGGACTTAAACGCTATTATTCTCTTGGCTAAACTGAGACAGATGGCCATGTGAGGTTTTCCTTGCCTAGTCTTTGTTGCCAAAGGTTGCCTGCTCCAAGGGTATTTTATTTCATAGATGGCTGTGTGAGATAGTTTAATCTCCTATTTCCTATATTCACATTCGTTTTTTTGTTACAGTCTCTATTGACAAAGATCTGATCTTTGTTCTAGTTCCAGAATAATTATTTAAACAGCCCCCCCCAAAAATGGAGGCAAAAAAGATAGTATTTGTGAGCATAAATGTGTATTTGTAGGGCTATTCTGACAGGGAGCTTTATGGCAATAGATTTAAAAATTCATATTGACAACAAACAGAACTGTGGTTCAGTCCAAGGACTGAATCTGAAACCAATGAGGAAAACCTAGGAATTTATGGTACATTTAGCAAGATATTTTTGTCTAATATTCTTATTTATTTCTTTCTCTGGCCTAGATCTTTGTAGATTCAATCCCAGCCTTGAATCTTCCATTTCCATACTATTGGCCAAGAGGTAGGGGGCATGATTCCTTAGCCTCATGTGATTGTAATTTAGTAATGGTATCAATGCCTTATAATCATGCGGTGGTTGATGGTTTGTGTAGCTTGTTCACACCCATTTTCTAATTTTTTCCCAATGGCCTAACTTTGGGCCCTAACACCAACCTGGTGTCATCTCTGCTTTATAAACGAAAGATCTAGCAAATGGTAGAGTTAGGATAATTACAAATAATTATGAAGCAAAATATATGTTTATGTGATGTTTATGACTCATTCGTTCGTCTTAAAAAATTTCTTTGAGTCTCTGATTGGTGGCAGAAGAGAGCTAGAGGTTCAAGGTTGATCAGAAAAGGCTTTGAGGAAGAAGAAATGGTTTGTTTAGCGTGGAGACCAAGAAGTGGATTGCTGTGGCATATTTACAACTATGATAGACATTGTCAAATGCCTCCAAAGTGGCTGTATCATAATGAAAGCTCTCACCCAGTAGCATAAAAGTCAATGTTCTTTAAAACCTTGTAATTTAAAATGTTTGCTAAACTGATGAATATAGAATAGCATCTTATCTTAATTTGCATTCTTCTGACTACAGGTGAAAAGGAACCTCTTTTCATATGTTTAGTAGCACTTGGATTTGCTCTTCTGGAAATTGCCTGGACATAGTCCATTTTCTATTGGGTTGTCTTTTTCCTATTGATTTATTGTCACTTTTAATGTATTCTAGGCAGTAAACCTTTGTGTATATGTATATTGTGAATATGTTCTCCCAGTCTGTCACTTTTACTTATTCATGCAATTAAAAAGTAATAAAAATAATAAGAAAATGAGAGCTGTCAAAAAGAAATATTTAACATATTGGTTTAATGTTAATTAAAAAACAGAGAAGAAAGAAAGTGAAATTTGGAGTTAGGTCTTGAAGAATGGTTATAGTTTAGAAAGGAGTAGGAGAGCAGTATGATAAGAAAGTTCCCGATACATTCCAGATCTATTGAGAGGACTGACCTGGCAGAAATAGAGAATTCTCTTTGGATTATAATGGGAATGACATTGGATAAATAGGTTTTGCCTATAATGAGCAGCCTTAAATGCCAGAATGAGGAATTTGGAATTTATACTATGAGAATTTTTTAATTGAAACATGATATCCTATCAATATTTTCAAAAAATTAACCTGACTATAGTGTATCAGGTGACTTGAGGGCAGGAAACAGTAGATAATTATAAGTACATTAATGAATAAAAGTGAATAAAAAGGAAGGGAATAATTAAGGAGATGTTTTAAAGCAAAAGTTCCAGGTCTGCGGGTTATGAGTGACTGAGGAATAGCAATGTCCTAGGTTACTTGAGAGGGAAAACTGAGCTTTGATGGGGAAATGATATTAAATCCTAGAAATTGGTCAAAGTGAGGACACAGGGAGATGAGTAGAATTGGTGACTTTGAGACTGTGATTTTAGGTGAGGACATGGATGGAACACAGAAGATTGGTTAAAATTTTAGCAGTAAATGAAAACTTAATTAACAGATGAGGAAATTAAGGCAGAGTTTAAGCCTCATTTATTTTAAAGGGCGAAGAAAAGCCAATATAGGTAGAAAGAAAGGGCTGTCCCTCTCTATAACTGGGTATCGATCATTTGCTACTGTTGACATCTCCCAGGCTGTCACCCTAGTTAGGAGGATGATAAAGCTTGGTATGTGCAGCCTCTGCATGGCGACCCTGTATTCAGAGGTCCCGCCTGCGGGAAAGCACATGAGTTTCTCATGGAGACCATTAACTAATCAAGAGAAAATAATACACTGCCAAGGAGGCAGCTATGAGCCATTGTGGTTTTTCTTTCCATACAGATTAAATGAATCGCATACGAATGCAAATGCAACCAAGTATACTCAAAAGCTGCACCTTTAACAAATTTTTTTTCATATGAAATATAACATAACACATTCTATAAGAAAAAATATATTTCAGGATTAATGTTTATCTTCTGTTGGATCTATAACACGTCTGTATTTAAGCTGTGGTCTGATTTGTCTAGTGATGACTTAACACTGATTCTTTTTTCCCTCAAAATGCTTTTAATAACATTTTCCTTGAACGTAGTCATGGTACATAGACAATAAAATAGGAGAAATCAGTGGCCTAGAGATGTGCAACAGTCTAACTCACCTCAGTTTGGCCAACAACGATATCAAAACAATTGATGGCTTAAACTCATTACCAATCAAAATACTTTGTCTGGTGAGTCTAACAAAATGTTATTCTTGGAAATTGTAATGTTTTAGTAAATATGTAAATTATGACTTTTTAGGATTTTTAAATTATATAAAGAGCTAATTCCTTCATGAAATGTTATTGTCTTCAGCTTTGTTTGCCTCTTTCTATATCCGTGTCTGTGTGTGTGTGTGTGTGTGTGTGTGAGAGAGAGAGAAACAGAGATCAATATTTCATTATAAGTAAAATGATTTTCTAATTTGGTATCCAACTGTAATTTTTTAAAGATTGCCTATTTATACTGGAAAGGAAGATATACTTTTAGCAAATATTTAAAAATATATTTTATAATATCTTACTGGTGAAAATATTTAAGCATAGTATTTATTGCTGGTAACACTTTATTGCTTTCAAATGAACCATACCATGTTTTCTGGGCACAGAATTTTGGCATTTCTTTTATATTAATACACACTAGTCTCCCATTTTAGAAAAAATCAGAAATAGTGCTGAGATTAAAGGAACAATTCCAATCAGAGAGTTTAAACTTATTTTTTCCCATGGAAAACACTCTCACACCATGTGATACACTGTGACTATGACTCAATGAAAATAAAGATTATTTACAAAAAATCAGCAGGTCACAATAGTCCCAAAGATAGATACAATATTTTAAAAATAACAATATAGCTCACTAATTTGGGGGTTGGTAATATTGTTTGTGGAGTATCCAGTATTGTTTCTTCTCCCTTTCCTCCTCCCTCCTACTTCTTACCCTCGCATGACTTTGCTGTTCCTCTTTGCGTCTGTCACAGAGTGGACAGGGAGGATTTCAAGCCATTGGCTTGTAGCTTATTAATATGGTGCATGAACCATCCCACTGGAGAGTGTCGAACTAGTGTTTGAAACAATTTCTTGGGTTAGCTGCAGATTTTTTGACATTTATAATATTCTATTCCTGTTTTATTTAACCATAGATCACTGAAGGTTGGCTGTGTGTTAATTTTTCTTACCCTGAGCTTAGAGCTCAAAGTGCTTTTTATAACCCTTCTATCTCCATGGTGAGTTAGATGAGGGTACTGGCAACTCAGTCCCAAGGATGGAACTGAGGCACGGAAAGGCTTAATAATTTTCCTGAGCTATCATGCTTTTCTGCTCACTAAGGCATGTTAGCAAAGCATAAATGAAAATGAATTTGATAAATTGGCTTGAAATTTTTAAAATTAGAAAAGAAAGTAACATTTTTAAAATCATGATGATCTGAATGATTATTGGCAGCATGTACTATTTATTTTGTAGTTTGTTAGAACCTTATCCTGTTCTTTATATATCTTCTCTGTATTGATGTTCCCATTAATTTTAAGTGAAGCATGGTAAGTGCAAAGAGATGTGGGGGTGTGCTTAAGGGAATGAGAATGAGCTTGTTATTAAGAATAATAATACATAGCACTTTCATCCTAAGAGTTTGTTTCAATAACTAAATAAGTAATCCATGTTGACAGTTCTGTCTCAAGTAGCCTTTAGAAAAAGCATAAAATACGTATTTTTCCTACAAACACATTTGGCGGATTATTCCCAATCCCTTCCTCCCCCCCATTACTCATGATGAACTAGAAAATCCACAATATGATGCCATTCATTCTCCTTAAAATATTGAGAATAAGAAGATTTTCTTTTCCAAATTTTAATTAAATCTATAAAATAAAATAATACACATTTGTTTGAACAGTTTTTAATGCTTTTATTTTTAATTCATGGAATCAGAAAGCCAGTTGCTTTAGTTGCTCTTGAAAATAATTCATTTTACAATTTAGAGAAAGCAGAATAATCACTGTACAAATCAATTGTTAATTCTTGACCATCAACTTTTATGATAGATTTAAGGGAGAACTGTGGTTCACTAAGGGGCTGTTCTGTTGCCCAGCATCTTAGAAAGTAATGACAATGCATTCCACACTTCAAAATTCATTTTGTCATTATAAGATCTGCTTGTTTTTTTCCTCCCAAATTGGAAGATTAAGAATTTTTCTAATTTCATTTATTTAAGAAAATAGCTTCTCTCTTAAAATCCTTTTCCCTGCTAATCATGACAAAATAATCAGGAAGAACTGTTCATGAAGAAGCTGGCTATACACTTTTAGGAGTGGTGCATCAGTTTTTCAGCATTGGATAAAGGGTTTAACTAGATGATTTTCAATTCAAAAATTCTGGGATTCTGAAATTTTCTCAGTTTTGTTTTCTTTTATGACTATAGGCTATCTAATTAAACTTTTCTATGCCTCACTCAATTTATATCATCTAACACTTTGAAAACTGTCAGAGACACTGTAAAGAAGAATTATAGTTATCTACCACTTTAAAGTTCTTTGGGGAGAAGTGTATAAAAATTTGATATTTTGAATAGGATATTGAGATCTTATTGTAATATATTAAATTAATAAGGGTATCATGTTAAGTCTAGTGTAGTTTTTCTTTCCCTTTTCTATTATACTTTCTATGACTTTTTTGAATGCTGAACAGAAGGAAATTTGACTTTACTTTGGCAAACAGATTATAAATATTTTCCTTTGTATTTTTGAATCTTTCAAGTGTGTATACAAATAAAAAGAATAGTATGATAAACTCTCATATGCTGTCACGCAGCTTTGTACATAATCAATATTCTATTATATTAAAATGTTTTAAAGAGCCATAGAATTATACTAATGAACACAAATCTTGCTCATTATTGAAGTGAGATTTCATTTTAAAAAGTAGGATAAAGCCAGGCGTGGTGGCTCACACCTGTAATCCTAGCACTCTGGGAGGCCGAGGTGGTTGGATGGTTTGAGCTCAGGAGTTCAAAACCAGCCTGAGCAAGAGCAAGACCCCATCTCTACTAAAAATAGAAAGACATTAATTGGCCAACTAAAAATATATTGAAAAAATTAGCCGGGCATGGTGGTGTATGCCTGTAGTCCCAGCTACTCAGGAGGCCGAGGCAGGAAGATTGCTTGAGCCCAGGAGTTTGAGGTTGCTGTGAGCTAGGCTGACACCACAGCACTCTAGCCCGGGGAACAGAGTGAGACTCTGTCACACACAAAAAAAGTAGGATGAAAATGAGCTCTTGCTATTAAATGTACCAGGGAAAATATTGTAGATGGAAAAGAATACTATAAATTTTCAGTTCTTAAATACTTATTAAAAGTTTTAAAAGTTTAAGGATGGGTACTACATGATGTTAGTTAAAACCTCAAAATTACCCTTCATGATTCTTAACTCAAACTGAAAATTTAATTTTACTATGGCATTTTCTTATACCTCAAGGCTAAGGAACCCAAGGAATGATAAATATGTTGGAAAATGTACAGAAAAATACAAATTATTATCATCATTCTTATTTGTTGTTATAGGTACATGGGAAGTTGGGGAAGAAGCCAAATTTGAATCTTAAATTTTTGTTCTATTCTCATTGTCCAAGAAGATGCGTATGTGTGAATTACTTAAAAACTTATTTTGGTTATCTACTGTCATATAACAAGTCACCGGAATTGTTGTGACTTGGAGAAATAACCATTTCATTAGCTAACAATTGTGTAATCTGAGCTGAGTTCAGCTGGGTGGTTCTTCCACTAGGCTCGCTGCCTTCAGCTGGCATACTGGTTGGGGGCTTGACTCAGTTGGGAGGCTGGGATGGCTGGGTTTTTCTCTCTCTTTAGTCTCAGGGCTTCTCTCCATGTGACTTCTTTTCCATGCAGCCTGTCCACAAGTTTGCTCCAACAGAACAGCTGCACTTCTTACATGGTAGCTCAGGCTCCCAAAACACAAAAGCAGAAGCTGCCAGGCCTTCCTAAGTCTTAGGCTTGGAACTGGCATACTTCTGCCATATTCTTTTGGTGAAGGCAAGCATAGGTCCAGCCTAGATTTAAGAGGGGGGAACTGCACAAGAGCATGAATAACTGGAGGAATGGCTAATTGCAAGTCACCAGGGTAACAGACTACTATGGTCCTTGTGATATGAAGTGATTATATTTAGAATGTTTCTAAAAGCAAAATGTATGTGGGGGATATAATATTCAAGTGGTTTATTGTGATGGTGATGAAAGAATTGCAAATTTTTTTTTAAATCTATATTTCCAAAAGATAATCATGGAGTTATGCTGCCCTTAGGCTTTAGGTGTAAAGTATTAAAAGATTATACTACTACCTTTTGTCTTTGTTACTGATTTGAATACTCAACTTGCTTTAAGTTTAACCAAAATACTGTATTCTGAATCTTTCAGCTGCAAAACTGGGATTTTTTTTTTCTGGGGATGTGTGCATGTGTTTGGGGAAGTGAATGATAAAAATGGGTTGTAGGGGAGGGACAAGAATGCCTTATTGATTTTTTGAGAAATTTTGGGAAGTATCCAAAATGAAAACTTGCCATTACAACTTTTCCTATGAGAGGTCTTTAAGACATTAACTATATTTTGTCTATTTTAGAGCAATAACAACATTGAGAAGATCACGGGTTTGGAGAATCTGAAAGCCCTGCAGAAACTGGATGTGTCCCACAATCAGATAAGCAGCCTCCAAGGCTTAGAGAATCATGACCTCCTGGAAGTGATCAACCTAGAGGATAATAAGGTAGTGTTGTACTGCCTCTGTCTCAGTTTCAGTGTCTACATAAGAGGACATATTAGAGACTAAGCACAAACACTCCATTATTGATTGCTCAAGTTGTCACATTAAATGCTGTCTTAGAGTTGTTATTCTAGCAAACTTCCTAGAACAATAGTTGCAAAAGAACTGTTTTTTAAAAAAAATACTTACAATTTTTCATTTTTGACAATTGGCTGATTCCTAATTACACTGTTTTAAAGGTTTAAACTGCAACCACGTGTGCATGATTTTCTGAAGTGGATGCATTCAGGCAAAATTTTGTGTAGACAGATGGCGTTAGGACTGAGTCTGAAATGTCAGAGTAAGGAGATTGGAGGTCCAAGAGTAGCCACAGGCTACAATGTTACTACCATTTAGAGAGAATACTGGGGCCCTGGTGGTGGAGGTTTGGGGAGATATTGGTCAAAGGGTACCAAATTTCAGGTAGATAGGAGGAATAATTTCAAGAGATCTATTATACAGCATGGTGATTATAGTTAATAAAAATATATTGTATTTCAGAAAAATACTAAGAGAGTAGATTTTAAACATTCTCATCACAAAAAAGATAACTTTGTACGTATGTTAATTAGCTAGATTTAGCCATCCCACAATATGTATATATTTTAAAACATCATATTGTACACAATAAATACATATGGTTTTATCTGTCAACTTAAAAAGAATAAAAAATTTAAAAAATGTAAATACCTAGCTTAATAATAGCTTAATAATAATACCTAGCTTAATAATAATAATAATAATAAATAGCTTATTAATAGCTATATAATAGCTTAATAATAATAATAAATAGCTTAAACTATTTAAAATAAAATAAAGAGAAGAGCACAGGAAGTAAATTCTTTTATCCTATTAGTAATAACAGTGTATCTTCCCAATCTGCATGATGGATTGGAGGTTAGACTTATTCAAATTCTCATGTCTGGCTTAATGTACACTTTACTTCAAAAATTAAATAATTAAATAAATTGGCTTTCACTCTTAATTACATCTTATTTTTAGTAAAGCATCTGGACTCCTAATCATGGTATATTAAGTTGGTTTGTACCTATAGCTGATTTCTTGTGCAATAGGTCTACAAAGTGATTTTATTCATATTGAGTACTTTATCATATTTTTTGGGGAAAGATTTCATAAGAAAGTTGAATGTTTCATTCTTCTTGAAAACGAAAAGTTGGGCTGACCCTGAAAGAGGCAGTCGGTGCTGGTTGCAGCAAAATGTGGCATGGTGGAGACCTTGTCCTGTTCTGCTGTGATGGTACTTACCAGTTTTGTCTCATGGCTCTTTCTCCACCAAACTCCCATCATCTGTTAGGCTACTAAAAATCAAGAGAAGTCAGTCATTAGGTCTATAGGAATAAGTAAAATTTTAATCACAGACAAAATTGTTGTTTTCATTCTCACTTGACTTGTATATTAAATTGTTTTGACAACTTCTCAAGTTAATTAATTCTAGCAGATGACCTTTGATGTCTGTGCTGTGTGTCTCAGGAAGGCAGCACAATCTCTGTTTCATGTGGTTTTATGTCCTTTTCCTGCACTTGCCATTAAAGACTAACTTTTAGAAAATTGCCTCCTCACAATGATTCTTACATATATACAGGGGGTTTTGGAAAGGTGGAACACACTCATTAAATCCCAACTCAATGCATCTCAGGATTTAGGAAAAGGAATAATGGTAATGATAATTGTAACAATTACAGGCATAAAATAATCTAGAGATATTTACTGAGTACGTATGCACCAGCTACTGTTCTTAAGCACTTTACTTATTTAATCTTCCTTATAACCCTATTATTAATGCCATTTTACAAATGAAGAAACTGGGGCACAGAGTGGTTAAGTAACTTGCCTAAAGTTATCGATTTAGCAAGTAGCAGAGCCAGGATTCAAATACAGAATATTTTGCCTCCAGAGTCAATGTTCTTAACCTTTGCATGATAATATAGTAAATGACATACTAATGGGCCTTCCTTCTGAAAAGGGTGTGATGTGATCCAAAACAGTGCCTTCTCATCCAAACCTACCGTGAACCACAGATATAAAGTTCTCAATAAAAACACAATAAAAAGGCACAAAGAAACAGGCAATATTAATTTTAATAATATATTTTACTTAATCCAATATATCCAAAATATTATCAGTTCAACATGTAATCTACATATAAAATTATTGATGAGATCTTTTACCTTCTATTGTTTCATGCTAAGTTTTTTGACATCTGGTGTGTGTTTTACACATCTCAGTTCATCTGGCCATATTTCCAGTGCTCAGTAGCCACATGTGGCTGGTGACTACCATATTGCATAGCACAGGTCTAAAAACACCTCCCAAATGGTGTATGGTTCTCTTCCATTTCAAGAGACTTTTTAAATTGCATTTGGAAAAGTTTAAAGAAAAAAGGGGTATCATTAAGCGAAGAAAGTGGTTTATAATTTTCAAATGGTAAAGACGCTATATTAAAAAAAAAGTGGCCACGTGTCCCAAAGGGGGATCCTTTAGCAACGATTATGTCTGTAACAATAACATAATTCCCTGGTGCCCCGCTGAGCAGGTTGGGGAGCAACTGGCAGTACTTTGAAATATTCTCTGAGCCATCCGAAGAGTTCCGCAGAGATTTTTGCAGGACTACTGAGAATATTATGTATCAGGGATGGAAAATTTATCATTTAACAGAAACATAACTTGTGCTTCTCATATGATTCATTTGATATTAGAAATATTGTTTTATTTGTAGCACTTTCATCCATATTAGGCACTTGGTTTTAGCTGTTGAAACATTGTAACACCTACATGTGTTTATCTGAACATCTCTCTTAAGGTCATTTGCAAATATTTATCATCAGCTGGTGATTTGGGGACCTTAGTTCCTCTCCACAAAGTAGTCCTTGTTAGATTTTAGTTCATTTCCATCATTTAAAGAGTATCCCAAGCTGTTAACTCCATTATAACCTTTGTCCTTTCTTCTATGGTAGTAGCAAGATACTGGTCTGGGAGTGACTTAGAGAATGCAGTTCTTCTTCTCTGGGGCTCTGCATCATTATTTCACAGTGTTTGTCCCCAACTACTTTTCTGAGTTTGTTTTTTTTTTAATAGATTAACAAGGTAATACTCATAAAGCAATAAAAGCAACTTAAATTCTAAGTAACAATAGCACTCCTCCCAGAGCTCCTAATCTGTTCATATTTTGCAGTGTTCTGGCCTTTCCTTCTAAATCATTCTCCCTGAATGTTGAAAGAGATAATGGCAGCTGGAGACCAATATCCTATTCTTTATATATATTTTTTAATTTTTTTTGAGACAGAGTCTTACTCTGTTGCCCGGGCTAGAGTTCTGTGGTGTCAGCCTAGCTCACAGCATCCTCAAACTCCTGGGCTCAAGCAATCCTACTGCCTCAGCCTCCTGAGTAGCTGGGACTACAAGCATGCACCACCATGCCCGGCTAATTTTTTCTATATATTTTTAGTAGGCCAATTAATTTCTTTCTATTTTTTAGTAGAGACAGGGTCTCACTCTTGCTCAGGCTGGTTTCGAACTCCTGACCTTCAGCTAGCTGCCCACTTCGGCCTCCCAGAGTGCTAGGATTACAGGCATGAGCCACCGTGCCCGGCCCTCTTTATATTTTTGAGGTTTTACATAGGTGGGAAGTTCTGAGCAGAGGACTTCTTGCTTTTTCTTGTGCAGAGATAGATGCCATTTAATGTCTTAGGCAAGCAATCCATGGGCATTATCCCTATTGTCATTGGACCCTGGCTCACACTTCTGTTTATATATGTGAGCAAAAGGAATTTGGGGGGAATTGAACACAATCTGCCTTCTAAGTGAAGTTAATTTCTCTCCAGATTCATTGGGGAACCGAGGGATTCCAGAGGCTGACAACATTGATGCAGAGGCAGCCGGGGCTGGGGATAGGAGATGCTGGCATGATCGGGTATCCTGCTAAAATCAGTCTCCCTCCACCTTTCCAAGGTGCCCCTGCCATGGCATGCAGACAGAAAGGCGGCCCCTTTGGAGGCCTTTGGGCTCTTTACAACCAGAGAGGATTGCCAAGACAGGGTAGCCCAATCTGCTCAGCAACTGCTCTCTTGGGATAGCCTTGGCTCTCTGCAGAGAGTGCTGAGGAGTGTACACTTTGAGCCCAGGTCCGATGCTGCCTTATCACTTTTCCAAATACTTTTTGAACTTTCAGACTAAGGCCAATGTAGTCCCTAACTTAATGCCTACCTCATGGCAATGGACTTGGCCTGCTTCTTGGTGCCCTGGCCCCATGGCGATGAAGGCAGCCTGCACAGCTGGGTGTGCCTGCCTTGCTTTAGCACTGGCTAGCTGATCAGAGTGCAGGCTGTTGACCCTGAGTCCGTGTATGCTGTAGCCGTCCGACTTGGTTAAGCCAGCAGTGCAGACAGAGGGACTATTACGGCCAGTTCACGTGACTGGAGACAGAGACCAGCACTCCCAGGGGTAGCAGGAGGGGTTGGAATGCCGGGGGGGGGGCATTTTCTTCTGATCCTCATACAGACCAATCTTATTTCCACCCTAGGAGCTATGTAACATCTGGTGTCTCTGCTAGAAGCTTTTCCCCAAATTTTCAAAACAATTCTCTTCTTCATTTCATTTAAGTTTCTGTTTAACCCTCACAAAAACCCTCCAGCACCCCTCCAAGTTTCCTTTTTCCCTTTATACTCCTTCACTCATCATTAGTACTTACTACTGCCTGAGATGATGTCATGTCACATATTCTATGAGTTCATTGTTTTTCCCACTAGAATGTTGATTTCAAAAGCTCAGGGACTTTCTCTTGTTCACTTTGTGCAGTGCATGGCACTTCAGAACTTTGTGCAGCTCATAGCTGGCACTGAAGAATATCTGTTGGCAGAGTGCATGGCCCTTGGGAGCCCTCAGGGGTGCCCAGATTTGCCTCTTTCCATCAAGTGCTTGGCTGGTGTTTAAGGTGCCCGTGATAAGATCTGGAGTGGTTGTGTATAAGAAGTGAGGCTCGAGTGTTTTCCTACTGGATGGAGAGAGGAGACAGAGTGGAGATCTGAGGAATTGTTTGGGCTGAGATGACAAGGGCCTTAAACTAGACAGTGGTAGTGAGGAAGGAGAAGGAAGGCCCGGGTCCACATGTGTTTCTGAGGTAGAATTAATAGGATAGACTGGAGGTGGTGGACAAAGAAGATGATATTGCTGAAGATGACTCCCAGGTTTCCAGGTCAGGTGACTGGGTGACAGTGGAGCCATGTAGCCTCCTTACTCAGTGATCTAGAACCTCTGGGTTCTTGAATATTCATCTTGCCCTGAACTTTAGAGACAGATATCCTATTCCAATGTCACTATGTGGGCATGCTATGCCAGCTTATAATGGAAGGCAAGCCAGTGGAGCTACTTTTGGGAAAGCTTATCCTTATTAAGTATAGTGAGTTGAACTGTTGTCCTCCAGAAGATGTATTCCCAAGTCCTACCCCTGGGAATCTGTGAATGTGCCCTTGTTTGGAAAAGAGGTCTTTTATATGAAAACAATAAGATGCAACCATTAAATTTTTTTTCACCGCCACATATATATGTGAATCTGTGCAGAAAAAAAATATATATATATATTTAAAATATATATATTTTTAAAGAAAAAGCCCTCCCCCAACTTAGGTCTGGATAGTGATGCTTAGAGAGCATGGTCTGGAAGGAAATAGCAAAAAGAAAGTTGTTGATGGCTTCTGTAGGGTGGGCTGTGGCCAATAGGGGCAAAGGAGGCTACAGAAAGAGGATGGACTGGAATCCAGGGATCAGCTGTGCTGGCACGACATTCTTGGCAGCAGGTGGCTGAATTTCCTGTAAGAATATAGCCTTTTGTCTCGGCCCTCGGGACCTTTTGTTACTCGCGGGGGCGAGGGGGACCGTGCCTGAAAGAGATGGGCGAGAGAAAGAAACGAGACCAAGCAAATGGTTGTCAAGGTCTGCTTTACTTAGATTCTTAGTAGGTTTTATAAGCATACAGAAACAAGGAAGTAGAAACAAAAAAATAGAGCGGGGCGACGATGAGGCTTGGGTCGGGTTAATTAGCCCCAATCAGCGTCTTATCGGTATCCTGTTTTTGACTGGTTACTCATCTCTAACCTGGCAGGTGGTTGGGAACAATTGCAGTCAGCACTCCCTGGAGCATTCCGTGGACAGCATGTCATGGAATGCATTCTTCTCGGAGCTATAGCTGGAATTTTCCAGGGCGAAGTCCGTGCGTAGGACGAGTCATAAGAGAGTTGAGGGTCTTTGAGGGTCCTTGCCTCTAACAGCCTTTCTGGCTGTATTTCACTGTCAGTCATGAGGGATGCTGTTGCTCCTACACCTACTGTAAAAATTTGTTACACACATGGCCTAGGGTTTGTGGCCTTTGTGGAGAGAAGATGTGAGGGTGGGGTCTGTTGTGGGGTGAGGATGTGCAGGAGAGGGAAGGCACATGCAGGCCAGCCAGGATCTGTTCATTTTTGCTAATTCAGCAGAAGTGGGAACTTGAAGCCAACCCACCCCATGTTTGCTCACTCTACCCTTAAAGAACTGGGAGGGGGAGGCTGGATCCCTTTCATTTGACTCTCTAAAGACCAGCTGATCCCAATGGCATCTTAATGGTAATATAATTTTATATAGCCCATAATCATTGTGTTCATGGTGTTTGCAGCACGTCAAGGAGATCTTTCCATGCAATCCTCGTAAATACCACCATCTTCTAAAATGAACATGTAGTTTTCCTACTGTGGGACTGTACTGTGACTCATTTAATTACATAATGATGTCATTTGTAGGAATTTAGAAATTTTTTACTTTTACTAATAAAGTTAGACTGAACATTCTTGTATCTAATTTTTGCCTGTCTGGTGATCTCTTTAATATAAACTTCTTGAAGTAGAATGGCTGGCTTATAGCTTATCCACATATAATATATCAAATTGCAATTTAGAAAGGATGTACAAATTTCTACTCTTACCAGCAATGCCTGCCAGTACATGTGGCCAGGACTTGTTGGTGGGACATGATGAATGCAGGAACATGTCTCCTCTTAACACTGGTGTTAGGTACAAGAATAAGAGCTATATACCAGAGGGAAATCCAATCCATTGTTCAAAAGTTCTGACTAAGCAGTGTGAACCAAGTTTACTTTTTCACCTTACTGAATAACACAATGTAAAACAATGGATCCCTTATAGATGATCCAAATGGCGGTCTAGTGGAGAGTCTAGTCATCTTATGGAAAAAGATGTATATAATAACATAATGTTGCTCTAACAAGATTAATGTGTGTCAGTTATATATTGCAACTCTGGAGTTTGCCTTTCATATAATATCTTTGAAAATGGCATCCTTTGAATGTGGTGCATGTGTTATTCCTTGACTTACCTGTGGGTCTAGTTTACATTTTAACTGCATTATGTGGTTAGATAACTCAGAATTTATTGGTGACTCTGTTGGAGTGCTTTTATTAATATAATGCATGCAGAAATAATTTGGAGAAAAATAGAAATGAAAAAGTAATTTTTGTAAAAGTTCAATATCTACACTTGAAATAAAATTGATATTATGCTAATTACAGAAAATTTAAATAAAACTGTTTACCTTTAGTGGAGAGTTCAGGACTGCTGCAACCCAAGCTGTATCCTTGGTCAAATTAAGAAACTGTCAAGCAGTCTTTTCTTCTTCTTCTTCTTTTCTCTTCCTTTTAAAAATTGTGAACTGTAACCTATATAGAAAAGTGTATAAAACATAAACATACAGGTTAGCTAAAAAAATTTAATGTGAACAGTGGATACCCATCAAGAAATATAATATGTCATACAATTTTCAAATTTTACCTTTCCCTAAAATAATTTCTCTTGTGGAAAAAGTGATAAAGCCATACATGTACATGTAGTGAGAAGGCTTTACCAGTCACACCCGGGTAGCAGAAGCAGGATTAGGGAGGGAAATTGGGGGCCTAGAGGGCTAGGAATAGGGGTGGGGATAGGGTGGGTAGCCAGGTCATCCTTGCATTCATTTTTGGTACTGTTTCTTTGCTTTTACATACGACATTATTTCTCCTTAAAGTGAAAATGGGTGAAGGAAAAATCTTACTGTTCTCCAGCCAGAGAGGGGGAAAAAGAAAACATGGCTGTGTGCATTCACATTTATTGAAGAGGCAAGCAATAATTCCCTGGTTCTGTGTAGCTCTGCAGAATTCTCATTATAATGCTGAATATTCAACAGAACAATTTTTTAAATCAGTTGAATTTAAAGGACCCCCAACTGGCTCCTATGGTATTATGTTTTCTATTGTCTTTGTGCATTTAGTCTGTTGATAATACTTTTTTTCTTTGATTAAACAGATTGCTGAGCTGAGTGAAATAGAATACATTGGTAATCTACCTATCCTTCGGATTCTCAATCTTCTGAAAAATCCAATTCAGGTGAGAGATCATTTATATTGGGGAGGAGGAGGGGAGAGGACGACTATCCTGGAATTCTTCTTCAAGAAGTACTTTTGGTAAAGACTATCAGCAATGTGAATATAGCCTATTTATCTTCCTTCTGTCTTAGGAAACAACTAGAAGCATTTACTAGCAACCAAATGACTTGTTTTTTTAGAAATAAGATCTTTTTCCATGACTGACACATTGTCACATCACTGCCAATGAAGTAAAGCCTGACATTGAATATCATTTACCTCTTCTGCTGGTCATTTGTGTCTCATCCCGGGTAGTACTAGCGATTACAGAAGGAGCTAATGGGACTGTAGAGCAATGTTCCTTTACATTAGAGAACGCAAGATGCCAAAGGTGTAGACAGAACACGGTTTCTATTCTATAACGGGGGACAGAAAGTCTAAGATTAGATATCTAAAGTAATTTGCCTGGATATAGCCATGAACTTGGTGTGGATGTAAAGTAATTATAGAATAAAATAATGTATTTCCTAAGGGTTCTTAGCCTTTGGGATTTAAGGGTTGAGGACTGTTTTTCAGGTCTCTCTTTCTCTCCATCCATAGATCCTATCTCCTGGCCTCCTCCCCTTCCTTGTCCATCTGTCCTTCATTCCGTTTTCTACCCATATCCTTCACATACATTTCCATAGACCCCTGGCTTTGTACGTATTTTTTTGGTGTGTATCTCGACGCACATGTCCGGACAGGCAAACAAAAAAAAGAAAGACAAATTTAAAAATAAAAACAGTCCTTGATACGGGAATAGTGGCAGGCAATTTAAAATCGTCTCTGGGAAAGTGAGGCGCAGGGTGTACAATGGCCATTGCACCCACTTTCAGATCCATGAAGAGTGTGCATAAATAAGCATCACCAGCCCACTGACGCGTGTTAACTTGCTGATATCACAGAACCTTCCCCCCAGCATTACACATGGAAGTGCACCAAAGATACCTTTGTATATTCATGTCATGTGAATTTACTCATCTATAAAAGGCCTCATCCACTAATGTTTTTCCCTTCAAAGAGACATAGCTTCTTGATACAAAAAACTAATTATATTTCTAAAAGGCAGATAGTTCTAATATAGCAGATGGGAGGGAATAATAAGGAATTTGTCTTATAAATGAATGTTATTTTATTATTGTGAGGTAACTCATAATAAACAATAAAAATTAATACAAAATAATATAAATAAATAATAATAAAATAAGTAGTAAAGTTTCATTATTTGCAGTAATGAAATTCACTGGAGTTAGAAGACAGGGTTTGAGTCACTGGCCACAGAATCTTAGATGAGCTGCTTCACCTCTCTGAGGCTTGGTAGTTTTTCCCTTTAGAAATGAGGATAATCAGGTTGTGTGTGGTGGTTCACACCTATAATCCTAGCATTTTGGGAGGCCAAGGGGGAAAGATTGCTTGAGGGAGTTTGAAACCAGCCTGGGTAACACAATGAGACCCCACCTCTTTGAAGAATTAGTCTCAGCTACTCAGGAGGCCGAGGCAAGAGGATCACTTGAAACCAAGAGTTCGAGGCTGTGATCATGCCACTGCACTCCAGCCTGGGTGACAGAGCAAGACCCTGTCTCTAGAAAAATAAAAATTAAAAAGCAAAAAGGAATGAGTATAATTCTACCTGTTCTGCTAATCTTAAAGGGAAATTAACAATATCGTGCATTGGAAGAGCTTTGTAAATTGCAAGGCATGGTCTGCATTTGAGTTCATGTAAGGGGTAAGCGTGAAGTGCAGAACCCTATACAGGGGTGTGGGAATGAGGGAGCAGGTGAAAGACCCAGGCTCATGAGAATAGAATGCTGGTGCTTGTTGATTTGGGAAAAGGAAGGCAATTGAATAGTCCTCTTGGTATTTTAAATAGGAAAAACCTGAATATTGGCTGTTCGTAATTTTTATGCTACTGCGATTAACAGAATTAGATCAGAAGAGGATTAAAGTAGAAGAAAAGGTATGTATGTAATTGTATTTCATGTGTTTATGGTTTAATATGCTCAAAAGCTCACATTGTCTGCTAGAGAACCAATATAATCAATAAATAAGACACATAAAATATGTAAATTAATTCTTTATTTAGAGACTGTTTCCTTGTCTTAGGAACTGTTTAACCCTCTGCTGAGCATCAGCACAAATGCAGTGAAAGGCCTGCTATCAGTACAGTGAAAGGTTGGGGCACAGAAGCAACACTCCACTTAGTATAAGTACCCATATTACCTGTATCTAGGTAGCAGACGATCAGTTTGGATAACTATCATATTTGGAGGGTGCATGATTCTGTGTTACTTTACAAATTCATTTAGCAATAAAACATAATGTTACTCTACCATATAATCAAAAGATACTCAAATAAATCACTACTTTGATATGTTAAATCCTTAATTCTGCTCTTTAAAATAATGATTCATCTGGTCACACAATTCCACAGTAACCAGACCTTGAATGCTGTCGCCTGCCTGCCTCCCTGCCAAACCCGTGGTAGCTGCTTTGTCTTGCTTTAGTGGCTGGTGACAGCTGAAATCTCTACTAATGAGGGGAATTTCTTACACTGGATGCAAATTTGAGATGGGAATGAAAACAGGTATAAATATGTAGAGAGGTACACATTCCATCTCATAAGTGCCTTTCTGAAATCTTGGTTAAAAATAGTTACAGATGCTAGTCTGTCATTATTCTCACACTCAAAGGCACTTATTAGATTTCTCTTTTCCTTTAACATTTTGCAAAGGGAATAAAATTTAAAACCATGTATTAGTAAAGGTGTGGTAGGTAGGGGAAATGTATTTAGAGGGATAGCAAAGACAAGGGAATAGAGAACTGTACATTAAGAGGAAAAGGCCCATATCCTTGAATGGAGAAAGTTCTGCTAAAAGAGAAAGAAGGTTTGGTAGAATTTGAGATCATGGGAATAGTTCTTGGTGAGAGGGCATAAAAAAATATTCCCCAAGTATCAGCTACCTGGAATTTATAACTATAAATTTTATTGTTTTCCTATACTAAAAGTTGGAATGTTTATTATATTAGAAGTAATCATGGATTTTCAAGGGTTTTTATTGTTTTCGTTTTTCCTTTTCCCCTGCCAAACAGGGGAGTATAAAGAAGTAGGAGATCAAAGGTCTCCATTCAATATTTTAAAATAATTATTTTTTTAGATTTTAGGAAAATTAGAATAGACATGAAGACTGAATGCACAGGTTCATGGGCATGTGCTACATTATTTTGTATACCTGATTGCCTGTCTAGAATATCTCATTAAAGAAAATCTAAGCTTTGTCTTCTTTTTAGAAACAAAGCTTTTTCCCTTTTACATTTCTAATTCTGGAAAAGGTTACAGCAGTGAATAAATATGACCCTCCCCCTGAAGTGGTCGCAGCCCAAGATCACCTGACCCACGTTGTCAACAGTGTGATGCAGCCACAGAGGATTTTTGACAGGTATTTATGAGGGATCCACAGGTAAAACTCGGGGTGGGCAAGCAAAAGACAACCTCATCATTTTCCCCAGCCCTCTATTTTGGGACCATTTATTTCCTACAAATGCTACGTTCTTAACTTCTAGGAGGGAAGGGGCCAAGGCTTTGTTTGACAGACTGTGTTGTCTCAGTTATGGCGTATTACCATGCACTTGGTGTTTTCCTAATCATGGTGAGGAGTTGATTAATCCTCACTCTTTCATCTGGCCCCTTCTATGGTGGCTGTGGCATACAACAGTGAAATCTAAAAAAGAAAAAAAAAAAAGTTTGTCAGCTTTTCTGCCCCAGGATAGAAATGCAGACCTTAATTTCATTAACAGAAAATTGTGATCGTTTATATCCATTGTAAATTTTTCCTTAGCTGTGAGTGAATGCTAAATACCCTTGCCAAAGAGGGTTCCATGACTTCAGATTATTAGGGAGTCCCTAGAAGGAAGCCAAGCTAGCCTGGGGGAAACCTGAAATAGTCTTTGCATGGAGCTGCTATCAACCCAGCAGGGAGGAATCGCCCAGCCTGGTGGAACACACATGAATAGAGTCTCTCACCTCTAAATTTGAAGATAGATTTACCACGGTTCCTCCATTTCTTTTTAAACAATCTGTTGGAGCAGATGGCCATTTATGCTATAAGTATAATGCAGAAATTCTATCAATACCCAAAGGCGTTTTAAAAATACTTGTAAAATCTCTTGGATATAAATGGCTTCTCTTCTTCATGTGGTATTTGTTCCTGTACTTCGCGTGATTGGTTTCCTACAGAGAGCAAAATGTTCTGTTTTGCAATGCAGGACATGATTTTTACATATAATTTAATTATATAGACACTGACAGCTTTATATGTTTATGATAGCCCTCTAAGGTGAAATGAATGATCATTTATTTATATACATCTGGAAAAGCACATTTGATTTAAAAGAGAGTATTTATGTCCTCATTGTATTTCATTTCTAGTTTATGATATTGCTAGTTGTTTCATGCTTTAGGGTACATCTATATAAAAATATATATCAAAGAAATTTGCTGCAGTGTTTGATAAACACGTATGTCTTGATCATTTCTGGCTGTTGGGCAAACAAGAGCAAAGCCCAGGTAGGCTTGCATATTCCAGGCTGGAGTTTTGTTCATTGTGAACATACACGGAGACAGGATGGGTAGCTCGTGTGAATGCCTGCCATGCCCTTCCTACGCTGGGCCAGCACACAGCTCTCTGTCAGCACCGGAAGTCAGGATCCAGGAGAGGAACCCTGACTCTTGTCTTTGGACTTGTGTGCTGCATTATTTAGTGTGCTTTAGTTTCTTCAGGTGTGAAATGGGGATGACAGAAACATCTTCATCAGCTTCTTATGATAATTAAATGGGGTAATACATGTAAAACTCCTAAAATGGTGCCTGGCACATAGTAATTGCTCAAGTAAATCTTAGTTATTCCTGTTAAGTTTGCTTTGTGTATCTGTATTCTAATTCGACAGATATGGATGTTAAACTAGCCCTCACAGGGCAGTCTCATTTCATTCATTGATGAGTTCTGGGTGGAATACTTCACTCTTCACTTCTATCAGGAATTGATACATAACCACATTTTTCCCTTAAAAAGTCTTGTTACAGTAAATTTACATAAATTTTGTTATCTATGCTTTGAATATTATTTTTGGCATATTATAATTAACTTATTTCTGGAAAGTAGGATTATCCTTTTAAATACTGTCTACGTATAACAAGTGCTCATTTAGCTGGGTTAATTATGATTGTGACACAGAAACTTGACCTGATGGAAGTAGTTAATGTGCTGTCTCTCTGGGTAGAGTAGGATAATGACTGATTCTGGTCCTGTGTCGTAGCACTCTTCCCAGCCTGGATTCCCCTTACCCCATGCTGATATTAGCTGGTCCTGCCGCTTGTGGGAAACGAGAACTGGCCCACCGCCTCTGCAGACAGTTTAGTACTTACTTCAGATATGGGTAAGTTTGTTTATTGGCTTGTGAGACTTGGAAATTCATCCAAGTTGTTGCATATATCAATAGTTTATTGCTGGTAAAATCTCAGATATTTCTAATTTTGACTATTTTAACCAAGTTCAAAAATGTATAAAACAACTTAATATTTAAGTTACATTTTACAGCAAAGCTAGAAGTGGTAAGTAAATCGAATGTTCAGTAGATATTAACTCTTATTAAGGAGAGAGCACCACGAGAGTGTTAATCCTTAAAGGTAAATTATTGATAACATTGGATCGATATGATTACCTTGTCTTGCAATGACTAGGAAAGTTGATTCTTGTGCCATTCTAATCAGTGTGGTAGAGATGATTGCTAAAATATACTCCCAGTAATAGAAGAAGAACTTAACACATAGCAAGAAGAAAGAAAATAGTTTGTCTTTTATGAAGCAGGCAATAGACACACTGCAGTGACACTCCCCCTCCCAAATCAAACAAGCATGGCTCATTCATGCCATTATATACTTTTTCCATAAAAGGCTTATCAGCTTCTTTACCATTTATTATACTGTTATTTTTACTGTATTTTTTTTTTAACTTTAACTCTCCAAATGTTTAACTTAATTCAGTCCCAGCCCAAATCACTCTCCAGGGTTTGAAAATACACATCTTTATAATGAAGCATAAATGGCATTTGAACGCAGGCTCCTGTTACCGCGCTGCGTGCCGGCACGAATAGCGTGTTGTGATGTGTAATGGGCAGGGCTGTCCTCAGGGACGGCTCTACTCGACTCTGCTTGGAACACACACCAACAGCACTTGAGTGTCTTTGTCTCCAGACAAAAATATGTCTTTTCAGGCATATTTCAGGAGGAAGAAGGAGAAGCAAGTTTTCCCTTCCCTTCCCCTCCCCTTCCCCTTCCCCTTCCCCTTCCTTTCCTTTAGCATACAATACACCTCAAGTTTTCTGGAGCAAATATTTTGCTGAGTGATTTCCTAATGACCCAGTTAAAATGGAGGAAAGTATCTGAAAAACTAGAACCATCCAAAAAGAAAACCAAAAAAACCTCCAGCTGGATTTACAGATTTTTTTAGAGGTTTCTGAGGACCATATTTAGAATTGTAACTGTGATCTCTTAAAATGGTTTCCTGTTGTATTTTTTATGTATGGCAGCGAAATTACTTTTAGATTAGTGGTATCTGTCAGTGAGCTATGGCTGTGACTATAAAGATATATAGGGCAGCAAGAAAAATAAGTGCAAATTATTTTCTAATGCTATTACAAAAAAGGTCTCTTCCCTTAAGCTACACATGTTCAAAAAATGTAAACACTATTTTAAACAGGTCCATTTATTTCGATATTTAAAATTGCTTCCCTCATTTGAACAACTCCAGGACACAAATACTATAGAATAATTTATTGATTAATATATTTTAAATACCCTGAAGTAACAAAAATAAATTAAAAGTTAATTTTAGAATAAAAAAGTATGGTGTGGATTATGCTTATGTGAAGGTACTAAACCTGTTTCAAAAGATAAGCTGAACACAATGAATGGAAGGTCAAACTAGGACAGAAGGATATAAGCTGACCATTGTGCTAATTTGTAAATTTGGAACCTTCCAGCAAACTAGTGTGACCTATGGGAACCAAGGCTTTTTCTGGTTCCTTTCACATCTTAGATACCTATTATGTTGAAATGGTTGGTAGCCCAGTTCTGTTTCTATGTTTGTGATATGCTACTACCAAGGCATGCTTGGTTGTCCTGTTCTTGGAGGTATTTATTGGCTCATTGCAAGATTCTGATCCAATCTCCCCCTACAGTCTTACCCAGCTAGGACCCCAATTACTCATTTTCATTAAATCCTGTATTTCCCTTATTATAATGCTTATTCATCATGCTTGTGATTGATTTGTTCAATGTCTGTTTTCCCCGCTTGTCTGTAAGCCCAGTGAGGGTAGGGCCCATGCCAGCCTTGTTCACCATTGAGTTACAGTGCCTAGCGTATGGCCGGGCACCTAATACATGTGAGGTAAATGTTTGGCTGGCTAACTGAATGAGTGAATGGATGGCTGAATTAGTGGCATTATGTGCAACATTTAATAAAAGTGACTGTAATAAGAAACATAGGTGATTTTCCCCAACTACCACTGATGGAGATATAGAGAGTTACATGGATTCATTCATTTGTTCATTCTTTCAATAAATATTTATTGAGTTTCTCCCATGTGCTTGTTCCTGAGAATACAGTGGGAAGAAGACTGGTGAGGTCCTTGCCTTGATGAAATTTGTAATCTAGACCTTAGATAATTAGTGCCATGTGAAATTTGAGTGGAGGCACAAGATGGCAAAACAAATTCCTAAAATTAGCTTTATCCTCTTATACTGTTACTTATGCCACTACTGTTTTTCTCCTCTGGCTGGAATCATTGGTGAGTGGAAAGACACTCCTAATTGCCTCCGCCAATTACATATTCAGTCACCCACCTCTCTCACATGCTCAGAAGTACTGGCCAACTGTTCATGGCCATTCTCATGGAGGCAGAGATCAGGGTTTGTTCAATGGCAAATTATTCTAAGAATTCCTACAAGATGTCCAGGGATGCCTCAGCTCACTGTGTGGGGAGCTTTGCAGAAGAGAATTCCATCAAGGCATGGAACAAAAACTGTCATTGGATAAAAAAGGGTATTAGATAGCTAGCAATTTCATCCATTGAGAAAGTAAGATAGTACCACCATTATATGCCCCAACTTTGTAATTAAAGCTAAAGCTAAAACCAAAGAACATCCTCACGAGGCTCTTGTGCATTGGACTTCCGAAGAACATCCTCAGGGGCAAGTCATTGCTGTTATTTGGATTTTCTTATCTCTTATTCTTTATCCAACATGAGTTTTATTGATTTTTTTATTAAAGGAAAAGACCAAAAAAGGCATTAATATAGTCTCTGCCATTTGCTTGAATTTTTTCTCTCCCTCATATTTATTTAATTTTCTCACAGTATTTTACTTCCTTTTCAAATTGCATTGACCCAAGATCAAGACATTTAATGAAATTTTTACACGTTAAGTTGCATAGCCAGATAGGTAAATATTAAAAACATAACTCAGTAGTATAACAAAGATTGGTGTGACTGAGAGAATGTGCTCTAGTATTAGCTTTTGCTTTTACTATTTGTTTTTGGTTTTCGAAATAGGTGAGATATTCTTTCTTTACCTGTATTAGTTATGGGTGACTTGGAGCTATGCATTTACTGTCTTCAAAGTTTCTGTATTGATTTCCAACTTTATAGTACCACACAAATCAGTGACTTCCTGCAAAAGTGCCAGATAATGACAGCAACACAAAACAATATCAGCATGATTATTTATCTTCCTGATTTAATGCTGTGAAAGTAACCTGAATGGTCCCAAAAGAAAAATCTTATTATTCCTTAGATATCTATTTTATAGCAATCTTTATTTTCATAACATTCTCATGATGTTTTCTACTAAATATATTTTATGTGAATATTATTAAAAGACCACAGCTATTTATCTACATGAGACAGTATGAGCTATAGCAATCTAAGTGCATGTTTATCTAATGTGTCTGTTTATACATGTGTGACAAATTTGTAGAATGGTTCATTTGTTCATTCAATTAATATTTATTGAGCACTGTCCATGTGCCATATGCTGGTGATGAAACTGTGAAATGAATAGTCATGGGTCTTGTCCTCCTGGTGGCTTATAATCTAGTATAGGATTTAAACAGGTAGATGTTGTCTAACAAGGTAATTTGATGAGTGCTATTACCAGGGGAGTAAAGAGCCTCTGAGATAGGAGTAAAAGAGAAGTGGGATGTGGGGTTTAAGGAAGGGATATATTCCAGGCACAGGAGGACAACAGGCACGTTTCATTAACTGAAAGTGCACATGGTAGTATGGATAAGCCTGAGGTGTCAAGATGATGAGGCTGAAAAGATAGACAGGGTCTGATCATAAAGGGTTTCTAAGCAGGGGAATGCCATGATCACAGTTGCATTTTAGAAATGGTCCTCAGTGGTTTGGGAAAGGGCTTAGGGAAGGAAGACTGGAGACAAGGAGATCAGTTAGAAGATGGTGCCAGGTGATGATAGCACGAGTTGGAAAGTGGTGTGCAGTTACTGGAAATTGGGTAGAGTAGTGGCTGCATGGAGTTTGTAACTGAGATGCAGTATGTGCTGGAATCTTTTGTGTTCATGATCACTTAAATTGTGCCCAGCAATTTATTGATATATTAATATATTTGCATTGAGTGTTCAGACCTACCAAATTCCTCTAGTAATACCTGGGCTCTTGTTGATATCCATTGAAAGAGCTCACTTACTAACAATATGGCGTGCTACAATATAATGTGCTTGAATTCAGATGTGCTCTGAATTCAAGCCAAGCCTCTGCCTAAATATTTGCAGTAACAAGAAGTTCATTATTTCCTGAGGCAATCTGGTTCAGAATTAAGATTCTAAATCTGCTTGCTTCAGAATCACACTGAAATAATTCTATTTCCTCATCCACCTGCTAGCTGTTCTTAGATATCTTTTCTTCCTGTTATATTTCCCTGGATATTTTAGTAGTCAATTTTTTGGCCTTGCTTTGCAGATTCCTTTCCTTCCTGATCTTCTCCTTTCCATGGATTTGGGTTGTTCTTAGCCTCAATGACATGTGGCCATGAATTGGCCTTTAGAAGGCCTAGGTTCACCCTTAGGCTTTTAGGACCAGAGTTGCCATTTGGGGTTAATCTTCAACTCAGTCCTTTTGCCTGTTAAGTGAAACTAACAAGGAGTATGGCTCCCATTACAAACCATGATTTAATTAGTCACCATGAATAAACTAGTAAATTAATTAGTAAATAATAAACTTGTGGGAATATTTAGACAAGGTCAGGAAGGATATTGAATGTGATAGCTCAAGCACATTTCATTGTCTAAAATTTTGCGTCATTTTTTTCCTAAGGAAGTTTAGGGAAATGTTGCTCTCACTATGAAATATTTCCTTTTTAATATATTCAATTTGGGTGGCATAACTACACAACAAACGTTTGTATATCTGAAAATTGGATGACAAATTCAAAAAAAACCACTGGTCATCTCAGGTCCTTCTTAATAGAAAGTTCTGCAGTAACTGCAGTTTTTTATTTTTTTTTTTATTTATTTTTTATTTTTTTAATTTCAGGATATTGTGAGCAGCTGCAGTTTCTGTCATCAGCATTCTCCACGTCAGTGGAGTCATCTCTTTATTTACCTGCCTAGAAGCTTCAAATTGCTTCTTTGTTTTCTCTTCCTTTTGGAAATTCTGGAAAAAAACTCCTGCCACTCAATTCCTTTGTTGGGAAATGTAAATTCAGGGTAGTGTGTAAATGCTATGCTAAGGGTTTGCAGCACTGGGTGCCAAGATACTGATTTATCTTCCCTCACTGTCAAGGACACCAATAGTCAGAGGGTCTCAGGTCTCTGCCAAGGAGGGTGAAGAAATGCCAGTGTATTCAAGCAACAAAACAAATGTCACTGTGTTTTGATGGTCTTCTCTTAGGATGCTCTCTCTCTCTCCTGTGTATACGACTTAAATGTAATGTTAAGGCCTCAAAATTTAGTAGTGCAGTTAATTTTTTATTATATTGGGAGGGAACAGTGGTATGAATTATAAAAATTTATTTGATTTTGTAATGAAGAGCCTTTTGAGTTTGTAACTTTACTCTCTTAATTATTACTGTATCAAAAAGAATTGACTTTGGAGTCATTTTGGCGTTGCTACTTAGTAACATCACTTAATCACTGTGCCTCAGTTTCATTAGTTAATTAGATAAATCGAAATAAGAAAAATTACCCACTTCATGTTTTTTGTGAGTAATAAATGAAGTAGTATGTCAAGTGTCCAGCTATTCACATCTACTATTTTAAATTACAGGATGATCTAAAAATCCTCTTCGCATTCCCAGAACTACACATTGGGAAGGCAGAATGATATGAAGTCAATAGTCCTGATAGTTGGGAATCCTGTATTCTAGTCCTTAGGCCAACACTGGCCTGCTTTGTGACTTTGGACAAGTCACTTTTATAGTCTTCTATAAAATGGAATTCTTAACAGCTGTTTCTACTTCACACCTTTTATTTTTCATTCATTTTACAAATATTTAGTGAATGCCTACTAGATGCCAGGCATTGGGAATGCAGTGGTGAGTAAGATGAGTAAGACAAAGTCCTCCCTCATGATTCCTATGGTCTGCTGGAAGATAGGAAAGGCGCAGATAAATGGAGAAAAGAAGGCGGTTCTGGTGATGGAGAGTAATTGGGAGGTGTGGCGTGGTGGCGGTGCTATTTCGGACAGTGTTTAGAAAAGGCCTCTTTGGCTGCATTGAGAATTCCTTCCAGCACTGGAACCCCGGATGCCCACAGGGAGCTGTCCACAGTGTCCATGTGGACCAGCAGTGCAGGGGGATGAGATCTCTCTGTCCTCAAGTGGTGGAGGAGGTGGGGCCCTGAACAAGTAATCGGGATGCAATTGGTGCAGGCACTGAGGCTGTGGGGGTATAAACAGGGGAATAATCCAGCCATCCAAGGTCAGGAAAGGCTTTTTGGATGGGTGACACTTAAACTGAGTCCTGAAAAACAAGTGGGCTGGCCAGGCAGAGGGAGAGAAGGGAAACCTGTGAAAAGTGCTCATAGATCAGAGAGAATGTGAAAGCAGTTAGGTGGGAAATGTATGAATAATAAATATTGTTATGCTTCTTAAAGTGTTATTACATGATGGCAGAGGAGGTGATTGAGAAGGTGATAAATAATAATGAGTACAAATTTGATGCTGATAATTTGAAATTTGTATAAGGATTATAAACTAGAGCAACTGGATGTCATCTAGCACTTCAAAACCACAGTGTTTCCACAGTTATGCTTTATGATTTATGATTTGTGGATCAATTCCACTTTTTCTTTAAAAAAAAACATGCTTTATACAGAAACGTTGTCCATTTTGAATTTCAAGTTAATAGAAACAGACTAGGTGATCTATCTTATGATTCCAGGGCCTGTCACACCACAAGACAGCCTTACTTTGGAGAAGGGGATCGAGTTGATTATCATTTTATCTCTCAAGAAGTTTTTGATGAAATGCTAAACATGGTAAGAATGTTTGCCTTTGTTTTCATTGCACAAGATATGCATATTCTCTGGCAGGAATATTAGGAAATGATGATAAGTAAAAAAGGGAAAAATTAAGTCTTGTACTTTTTGTGAGAGGTAAGTTCTTCCTGGGTTGTTTTTTCTTAAACTACTTAATACATCATTCTTTACCTGCTTTTTTATTTTATGATGTTGGAGAAAGTATTATAAATTTCTAATAAAATGAATGAGTAGACCTTTTAAAGAAATAGAACTAAAAGCACTGCAAAAGATTCTTGTGGTCTGTGCTTACACATACTGCTGCTATTAATCTGATTTCACTCAAGATGAACTGTTCTGACTTGATGCAGAAAGCCTGTGAATTGAGCATTCCCGGGGGTTAGGGTGTTCTGTCTAGAGATTGCTGCTTCTGTGTGTTATCAGCGGTGCTTTCTAATTGTTACAACCCTGAGCACGGTTTCCTTAGAGTGTGCCCCACTTAGCTGGCTTGTTCTGGACTCGTTACCTTCCACAGTAACATTTCCATTTGAACAGTCTGAGTCTTGAAGGCCAGGCCGTTTGCTAATGCCTATGGAAGCCCTTGTGCCCATGCTAGGAGACGGGAGATTCCGAATTTCTTTGAGGACTGTGTCTTTGCTAGGCTAGAGGTACTACCCTGCATCAGTCCATTTCATAGGAGCTCAGGGTAATCTTGTTCAATTTAAATTTTCTGTTTTGTGTTTTTTCTTTTCCTTCTTTTTTTTTTAACTGAAACTCTGATAATCTTGTCATTGGTAGTAATTCTCAACACCTTTGTCTTTGAATTCATTTTATTCAAAACAATTCATTTCTTCCTTCTTGGCCTTCATATACAAAGGCAATCCTCAAAACCCTGAGGTGTTTTATCTGTGGAAAGTAAATCTAATGTCAATACATATTCGCCCATGACTTCCATTAAACTTTAGGAGTATCTCATATCTTCATCACTACCAATGAATCAATAAAGCTTTTATTTTTTTTTTCTTCACCATGGGCCTTATTTTTATTTATATCATCATTATTTCTATCACCAAATGGATACTACACCACTTTTTTTTCCTTGAAGCCTACTGAAGGACCAGATGAGGGAATAATCTATTTCTGCTTTCAAAAGATTACCCTCCAACAAGCAGTGCTGGTATAGCTAACCTCCCCTCCCCTCTTTTCCTTTCTCTTTCCTTCCTCCTTTCTCTCTTCCCACCCCAAATAACGGATGTGGCTTGTACCTCAGTGTACATAACTATGAAACATTTAAGCCTGGGATCTGCAGTTTCTATGAGTTTAATTCCAGAGCTTCTCATGTTCACAGAGAAACACAAGTGAGAACGTCCTATAATCCCTAGGCAATTCTTCCTCTAACCTTGTCAAAAGAACATCTTGGAAATTCTTTATAATTTTCTCTCCTAAGGCTATATTTTGAAAGTTCACTTTAATTTATTAAGAGTACTCTGGGACTTCATATTTCTAAAAGCCTTAATAGAGATTTGGGAAGTTATCTTGATATTAGTAGGAGGCATTCTCTTAGGACTCTTTAGGTTGAAAGACAACAAGTTCCCAAAATTAGCGTTCATTTCTCTTGCTAGAGTACGCAGTGCTTTTTTCTTACTTCAGTTCATCTGTTCTCAGTGCCCATATGCTCCCCTGATGTTCCATACCTTATTTGATCTGTAATCAAGTCAGTCTGGTTCAATTCCTAAGAAGTCACTGTACTTCTCTACTATATTTATAGTTTTACTTCCCTCTACAAAAATCACTGTACTTCACTGTACTTCTCTACTATATTTATAGTTTTACTCCCTCTACAAAAATCCCCCCGTGTCTGAGAAGTACTCATTTTTACTGCTCCCGCTAATGTATATTATGTCAATATAATGTAATTTTCTTCAACTTGAGTTTTGCCTCTGATCTCCTTTTCTTTTCTTCAACGTGAGCTTGAGATTGTTTCATGAAAAGTGACAAACCTAGTGAGTATAAACCCCTGACACATTGTCAGCTTTGCCAGTCACACCCTCACACTCGGCCTTCTGTACACAGAACGCCCCTCCACGTGACACCCACCCTGACAGCCTGTTCCCCACCCCCGCACACTTACTGTACACAGTCACCCCCACCTGCTCCGGCGTGTACAGCCATAGCCCTGCACAGCCTCCTGCATCCATGTGCCTCCTCCAACAAACACCCGCTCCCCAACACACAGATCATCCCCCCTCTGCCCACAGACATGCGAACCCTTTTTATGGACAGGGGCACAGTCACTTACCCACAGAAACTCTCCCTCTCTTGTGGAAATGCAATCGCAGACCCAGAGGTTTTTGAAGTATGATTCTTGTTGTTTATTAGGGAATGCACATGCAGCAGGAGATGCAAGGAGCATCACCAGCCAGAGTGGAAGGCGGCGATTTCTTCTCAGTTCTTAACATAGCACTTTAGTGGGGTCTCTTTTATATGTACGTACAACGCAAGATTTCTCCCAACCATACATCGTTCCAGAAAATGGTGTTTTGGGATCCACAGAGGAAAGTGCTTGTGCACATAAGTAAACAAACTTACAGTATGTATCTGAAAAGTAATTCAAGTATACATTTTGAAGACAGGGCGAGTCACAGAGCCAGCAGGATGTGTGTATGTACAGAAAGGGATTCGGCACAAGGAACTGTCTCACGTCGGTGTGGGAGTGGCAGGTGCGAATCTGCAGTGTGGGCCGGGCAGCCCAGAGAGCCAGCATAGCTGCTGGTGCAGGCAAACGCCAAAGGCTGATCTTGTTGTTTATTCCGCTGGTTGGATGAAGCCCACCCACATTATGGGGGCAAGTCTTCTTCCTCAAAGTTCACAAATTTAAATGTTAATCTCATCTCCAAACAGCTTCCAAACTGACACAAATAATTAACCATTATACACAGTAAACAAGATAAGGCACACACCTGAAAGGAGAGCCGGATATCTATCTATCTAGATATAATGTATATATTAAAAGAAAGGGAGTCACTGTATTTGTTCCAAAGAACAAAGAGAGTATGACATTGAAGGAGTAAATATTAAAGGCGTTTACTGTTGAGTTCGTAACTTTAGAACACGGATCATAAACTCCTTTTGATAATGGGAGATGTGGATTTTCTTCATTCACCTGCAGCAGACTCATTCCCCAGAGGCCCACCCAACCCCCCGAGAGATACCCTGTGCCTTCTGGCCTTCCAACACCTCTCCTCAGACAGATAGCCCACCTGTCCCCCACTCACACATCTGCAGAACATCTGGGGCCAGAGGGCACAGGGCAGCCATGGGCTCTTAACTGCAGCTGCTGCCATTTGATGGGATTCAGTGCAGCCCCGGAAGTTTTCACTTCACTGTTTATTTCAAAATCGTGTATATGAGGAGTCAGACTGGCCAAGGTCATCCACGTTTTTTATTCCTTCTATCATCATTCACCTCCTAAGTTTAGATTCAACCTAGTGGTTTAATATAATATTGTCAAAGAAAAAGTCATAGACAATTTTGAGAGACATGTTTTTACTTGCACTTTTTTTTTTTTTTTTTTTTTTTGCGAGGGAATACAGTTTTCAGAAGAACTGAGCTTCCAGAATACAGAGAGAAGGTGGTATTTATAGTTCAAATGACTAGGACAGACACTAATTCTGTTGAATAACATTTGGGGCAGGCAGTTTCAATACAAAGCTATCTTTATGAGGAAAAATAGGCTAGGTCTGTCTTTCAAAGCGTTTAGGATGTCCCTGTAATTCATGACCTTCAGGAATTATCTGTAATTCCTGGCTTATCTTAGAATGCAAGGCTTTTTGGAAATGGAAGCCTTTTCCAGGCTACCTGGTATGCTGGCATAGCTGGAATGGCAGAGGCACACGGCAGGCTATTAGTTTTGCTCTCTCAAAAATGAAGGCTTATAGTGCGGATTTGGCAGGAAGTAGGTAAGCAAAATAGTCTGTCCTACTCTAAGCTTCCATGCTTTAACCCTCCTCTAACATTTTGTCAGCACATTATTTGCAAAAACCTAATTTTTTGTCAGCTGAGAATTCTGAATAAATTTCTCTGTCACAGTAGGATATTAAGTTTCATAACCCCATTGTCATTCTTATGTAGTTGCTAATATTTGTAGGCTTTATGAAATTATATAGAGGAAAACATCAAATGACTTTACTTATATTAAATTCCATTATGGCCACTGTTATATGAAAATCTTTGTTCTTCTCAAATTCCAGGGGAAATTCATTCTAACATTTAGTTATGGGAATCACAATTATGGATTAAGTAGGGACACCATAGAAGGTATCGCAAGAGATGGTTTAGCAAGCTGTATTCATATGGAAATAGAAGTAAGTGTTTTTCATTCAATCAGCTAATGCGTATGTGAGTTTGTGTGTGTGTGTGTGTGTGTGTATATATATATTTAATGTTTTTATTTTTTATTGATACATAATGGATATACATATTTTGGGGGTACATGTGATCATATACACATATGTGTATACTCGAGGTTGGGGAGAAGGGGTTTCGATGTGCAGGCAGCACGCTGCTGGACACAAGAGAAATGGGAGGCATTCCATTTATAATTAGCATGAGCAGGCAAGACACATGAAGAATTAAGTGACAGGAGTTAGATTACAATACAAGAAATTGCACGTATACTATGAGTACAACTGCCACTCGAGTTTTATTTTCTAAGTTATATCCTCACTGTATTATCTTTTTCTTTTAGAACATGGTCTCTCTTTATATAAAGTGGTGTTAGATAAAAGCTGGTCCTTACAAGGTGTGGAACTGGTTCCGTCTCCTCAGGACAATGGCAGCCCAGTGTAGGTGACCTTGTTCCCTCATTCTTTGCAGGAGATGCGTGGTCTGTGCTATCACTTGACCCCAGCTGCTCACTGGATGTGGTGTTTTCAAACTTCTGGCAATTTAGACTTGTAGATTTCAGGAATTTTTTTTCTCTGCCCCAATATCTCATCTTTCCCCAACAGTCTTCTGTAAATAGAATATACAGAAGCTTCTCCAAAATTAACCTACAGAGTAAAACTATGAATTTCCCACTTTTCAAATATATAGCTTTATGAAATACTTGAAATCTTCAAAGATAGTTGATTGTTTTGTTCAAGTTACCTTCACTGAAGAGTATAACGATTTTGTAATCAGAAAAGCCTGTAATCCTAGCACTCTAGGAGGCCAAGGCAGGAGGATCGCTTGAGCTCCGGAGTTCAAGACCAGCCTGAGCAACAGCGAGACCCTGTCTCTACTAAAAATAGAAAAATTAGCTGAGCATCATGGTTGTGCACCTGTAGTCCCAGCTTACTCAGGAGGCTAAGGCAGGAGGATCGCTTGAGCCCAGGAGTATGAGGTTGCAGTGAGCTGTGATGACACCACTGCATTCTACGCAGGGTGACAGAGTGAGACTGTAAAAAAAAAGAAAAGATATAAATAATTCAATTAGGCCAAACTTACAGAAAACAAAACCTAGGCAAATTGGGTACATATTCCTTCACTATTGACTCTGAATCTTTTTGCTTTTTTTCTTTTGGAGCTTCACATAGCAGGAGACCGTAATTCCCTTTTGGCTCCTTTCATTGGTGTAAGTGTCCCCAGCTTCAGTGAAACTGGTCACATATTTTCCAGTTCTTTTCTGACTTCAGAATATTTCCATTCTTATCTCTCTATAATTAATTGATTTTGTATCTTTAAGGAGGGTTTTCTTTGTTTCTGCACTACCTAGTAAAAATAAAAAATCTTTCTCTAAAAAATTTCTTCCTTAGACAAGGCAGAAACAAAAATTAATGCATTTTTGAGTGCAGAAACTCTCCATCTTTTGTGTCTACCTTTTTCCAGTTCAACAGATATGTGAGTGATGGCTCCTGTTTACTTTTTCTCCTTGAGACCTTACTCTTACTCATTTGTGGGAGGTTGAGTCTATAATCCATGCTTCATTCCCCCGACTCTCCCTAGCTGAAGTATTTTTTCCCAACTGCCCTTGTCATTGACTCTTTCAGAAATCGTTTTTAAAAGAACCTGTATTTCTTCCCACTGAATTTTTAAAACAAAGGCTTTGAACATTGAGTTAAACTGATGATGACAGAATTGAGATGGAAGGGACTTTGAGAGTCCATTTGGAAAAATCCATGCCCATGAGGAAACTGATACCCAGAGAGCTTGAAGGATATCTGCAGAGTCCAAGGGGCTTGAGAGCTGCCACAACCAAGCTCTCCAGATCCACAGACCCCAGGACCTTACACAGCTTCACACTGTGCTCTCCTGGTTAGCAGACTACCATGCATGAGCTTGGCCTTCCCAGCTCTGAAGAGAGGCTATAAGATGTCACTGGAACCAGCCCAACCAGGTTGCAGGTTTAGGAGCAGGAGCCTAAGCTAATGACAAGGCCTAACAGAAAAGCCTTTTCTCCCTGGGGAGATCTCTGTCTCCTGGTGTTCCAAAGAAGCTTATGAAATATAGAATTGAAATTATTTTTCAGTGATAAAAATTGCATTGCTGCCATGATATACCTATCTTATATCCAGTAGTTTTCTTTTTTAACAGTCATATTCATTAGAATGATTAATTACAGGAAAACCAGGTGGAATGAATTCTAATACTTCCAATGACAAATTAATATTTGATGAAGAGAGAAAAGTAATCCAACCTTGAGATATTTATAGAAAAATAGAAGCTAATTATACAGATAAAATAAATTCTTTAATATGAATGATACTACTTCTTATACCCCTCTTGTCGGATGTCTCCAAAACGATTTCTAAGTCGTGTATCTGTTTCAAATTTATTATCTTTCTTTAAATGCATAGGGTGTAAGAAGTTTGAAATATTCCTATTTTGAGCCTCGATATATCCTGGTGGTACCCATGAACAAGAACAAATATGAGGGATACTTAAGGAGAAAAGGATTATTCAGTCGTGCAGAAATTGAATTCACTGTCTCCAGAGTGGACCTTTATATTAAAATTAATAAGAAATTTCCAGGATATTTTGATGCAGTCATCAATGCAGGTCAGTAACTTTCAGCAAAGTTTAATTTGTGAAGCGTAAGGTCACTGGTTTAAAAGTATGTTTCATGGGATGAAATTCCTGGGTAAAAGATATTTTCTGTGTAACAGTGAATCACAGAGAACTTCAAAAAGAGGTAAAAATCCAAGAGGGCCAACCTTCCACTGTTTTAATCAGAGGATTATCTCTATTATTCCTTAAGATCTTGGCTGATGAGATTTGGTATAAAATGAGCCTAGATTAGATTCCTTTTTTTAAGGAGACATTGTGAGAATAAAGTTAGATAATACACAATTTGAAATACACATATAAATTTCTTGAAAGGCTCATGAAACTTAGGAAATTTTATCAGAATCTACATATAGGTAAAAACCCAACTACTAAAAATATCATAGCCATGAAAATATCTGGGTGTAAAACCAACGTTTTCAAGAACTATCCTAGAAATGGGCATTTATTTGAGGCAATAGTTAGTAGGAGAATTTATTGAAATATGAAAATTTCTATATATTTTTAATTATACTATATTATACAGCCATAAAAAGGAAAGAGAAAACATTCTGTGTATGGATAAGGAAATATCTTCAAGCCATACAGTTACTAAAAAGACACATTCCCCACAACCATAGGTACACATAGTAATCATATTTCTTGTACTACATAAATCTCTGGAAGAACTCTCAAAAAATTGATAACACTGATTACATTACATTAGGTTGAACCATATGAAATTGCAGAATCAACTATTTTGACCTATGAAAACAGAAATTTAGTGGTTTTGGATCTCTGAAACATGTTAATGTATTACATAGTTACATTTGTTTTCTATTCCTGCACAGAAATTATCATATTTAGTGGCTTAAAACAACACCCATTTATTAGCTCACAGTTTTATAGATTGGAAGTCTGATATAGAATAACTGGAGGCCGAAATTAAGGTGTCAGCTTGGGTGAGGTCTCATCTGAAGGCTCTGGGGAAAAATCTGCTCCAAGGTTCATTCTTGTTGGCAGAATGCAGTTTCTTGTGGTTGTAGGACTGAGGGCCCAGTTTCCTTATTGACTGTCTGCCAACGACTGTCCTTAGGTCCTAGAGGTTGCTCCCAGTGTTGTCCATGTGGCCCCCACCATGTTCAAGCCAGCAACAAGACATTGAACCCTCCTTTTGCTTTGAGTCTCTGATCTCCTCTTCTGCCACCAGCTGGAGAAGACTCTCTCATTATATGGGGCTCATGTGATTAGGGTGGGCCCACCTGGATAATCTCTCTTTTGACTAACCCAAAGTCAACCCATTAGAAACCTTAATTACATCTGCAGAAATCTCTGTTGCCATATAATGTATAATAAATACTCATAGGACTGATATCTCATTGCATCCACAGGTTCTGCCCATACTTAAGGAGGAGATTGTACAAGGGATGAGTCATTAGAGTCATTTTAGAATTCTGCCTACCACAATATTCATAAAATTAAACGTAGTGACTAACTCATTACTATCACCAGTTGAACACTAACTGCATTTTTCTATGATCCTGTTGCTTCAAAGTATACTCTCCCATTTACTGTAGATGATCTGGATGTTGCCTACCAAAACCTGAGTCGGCTCATTAGAGAGTACCTTGGATTGACTGAGGAGACTGCCAAGATTTGGGGTCCAGCTGCAGGTACTATGCTATTCCCTTTATGCCAGAATAGTTTTTTTCATGGAAAGGAAAAAAAAAAAATGTGAGTTATTATTTGAGTACTCATCAGCCAGGCTAAATCTAGTTCTCTTTAATTCCCGTACTTCTTCTGGGTGGTTGTCCCCACAAACAAACTACATGAGTTAGCCTTCTGGACCTATGACTCTGCTGTGTCCATGACCAGAATGGAACTCGGGGGACGTGCTGGGCAGTGCCTTGGAGGTAGGTAATAGATAAGGGTTAGCCTCATGGTTCAGAACTCAGCCTTCCAGAAGTTTAGTTCCCTTCGAGGGCTGAGGTGTTATTCTACTTGTCAGGTTTGTATTTACTCCAAGAGTTTCTGACCAAGGATTTCAGTGCAAGAGTCTTCTTTCCCCCTTTCTGCACATCGCCCTGGTCCTGAAAATGTTATACTGCAGGATATAGTGGAAAGAGCACTGGTCAGAGGATGTGATCCCAGTCCTGGCCCTGCTGCTTTCTCGGGCAGGCTGGTTAGCTGGTTTTGAGCTCCAGTTTCACTAAATGGGCCTAATGCTCCCTGTCTGCCTCAGGGGTCATGAATAGCAAGTGATTCTCCTTGGAATCTAGGAATTCTGAAGCCCTAACTTGGAATTTTGGTCATGAGTACTTTGAGATGTATTTAAAAGATTCTCCCCAATCCACCTGATAGCCATTAGGATGGTTACTATAAAAACAAAACAAAAAACAGAAAACAACAAGTGTTGGCAAGGATGTAGAGATTTAGAACCCTTGTATGCTGTTGGTGGGAATGTAAAATCGTCCCGTACTATATGGGAAACAGTATGATGGTTCCTCAGACAATTAAACACAGAATTTCCATAAGATCCAGCAATTCTACTTATGGATATCTTCTCAAAATAATTGAAAGCAAAATCTTCAAGACATTGTTGCACACCCATGTTCATAGCAGCATTATTCACAATAGCCAGAAGGTAGAAGCAAGCCAAGTGTCCACCAGTGGATGAATGGATAAACAAAATGTGATATATGCATAAAATAGAATATTATTCAACCTTAAAAAAGGAAGGATATTCTGGCACATGCTATAACATGAATGGACCTTGAAAATATTACGCTAAGTGAAATAAGCAAGTTGCATGATTCCACTTATATGTGGTACCTAGAATAGTGAAATTCATACCGACAGCAGGTAGAATGGTGGTTGCCAGGGGCTGGGAGACAGAAGTTGTTTCAGTTTGAGAAGATGAAAAGAGTTCTGGAGATGGATGGTGGTGATGGTGAATATACCTAATGCCACTAAACTGTATACTTAAAAATGGTTAAGATAGTATATTTTATATTACATGTATTTTACCACAATAATATACTGAATCCCAATTACACATCACACGGTGTAAAATGTTAACCGAAGACTCTTGCTGCTTTGTGAATGCCATGCAGCTTTGTGTTTTAACCTTTGTGACTCTATGCCCCTGTATGATTTTGTTGCCTGTTTGCATTCTGGCAGCCTGACACAGGCCTGGTCATGATTTTGCCAATGTTCAAGCCAGTTGTACTGTTTTGTAATTTTGCACGTTTCCCGGGTTAAGTGCCATTGGTATTTTGGAATGAGGTCAGTATGAACTATATCTCTCAGGAGATGAAGTGACCAGGGTATGACCTGCTGCCATTCCTGGAAAAAGTTTGACCTGTCTGAAAATCGGTATTAATGTAGGACTGGAGGACTATCCTCAGTCTACAAAGGGGGCACATTAAATTAGGAGCAGGTCATTGTATTGACCCAGCCCCGCTATGCTTCTCCACATCAGGCATCTGCTCTTGGAGAGCCAGGACTGTGGAGTAGAGCAGCACCGTGAACCTAACAAGGCTTCCATAGCTCAACAGAAGTTTCTCTTGAGGAAATCTGGCTCCGTTTGCTTTAATTTTTTGCTAACCAAGTAAGCTTGTGATCTTTAATTTAGTCCCCCCCAGGTGGACCTGCCCCTGTGGGGCTGTACCCTATGGTTACAACACCCTGCCCTGATGCTCGAGCCAGGCCCATCTCCCATTGTAAATTAATTAATTGGCATCCTGACTTTTAAATTAGCCTCTTGTGGGTTTGGATAAACACAAGTAAGTCCCCTGAGCCTGATCGTTCTGAGCAACCTGAGAAGTGCCATTTTTGAATCAGTGGGTGCCTCTGAATGGTGACGCTTGAAGAGGACTTTGCCTCGACAGCCAGGAGGCGCCATCTCTGTATCTTAATCTACAGCTGTCAAGGCTGACTACTGGGTGCAGTTGCCATTTGGTAGATTAATAGACCAGATAATGTGTGCGTAGGAAAACGGACTCTCATTTTAAAAAGTATAATAAAGCTTTATTTATTTGGACTAATTATGTTAGGCATGTCTAATTTAATGAAAAGTGTGAATTATAGGATTTGTAAATGTGTTACTACTCTCTGATACATTTCATAACTGAAACCAAGCCATCCAGTTATTGACTAATAGAATTCTGGCTCAAAAAAGTAGACAGGAGAATTTGTCATCACCGGCCTCAATGGAACTTTGTTTTTCTGGCAGGTTTAGTATTTGGGAAAACAATGTGTTTTCTTAAGCCAACCACTTTATCATATTTATACAATTAATTTGCGGAGGAAGTTGATTTTTTCAGTTGCTGGTTTAAGAACCAACTCTCACATAAAGTGATATTGTGGAGGCTAGACATTATTCAAGTATCCAGAAAATTCTAATGACTGTGGTCCTTATTAATAAGCTTTTGTCTCTAATGACCCAAGAGATAGAACCAGTGAGCACTTTTAGTTTCAGGGCTATGATGAATGTGCCAAGGAGCATGGGCCAAATGTTCACAGGTTCAGTGCAGGAGAGGGGGATCAACCATAATTACCCGAAAGCGAGTATCAAGATCCCGCGAGAAGGGGACCAGAGCCTCAGCAGAGTCACTGTCATGGGCCTGGCTGGTGCTTCACCTCTTTGCTTCTGCTCTGAGCTGGGTCCCGCTGATTTTAAGTTTCTGTAGTTTAGGTATATTTACATAAATATTTACATTACTTACATAAATAGGACACCAGTAAATAAAAAAAATAACATAGCAATTTTAGTATAGTAGAATTTTTTTAAATTATTGAGCTGTCAAAGGGAAGAAATCAGAGTAAAAAATAATTCTAGTTCTATGACAGACAGTTCTTGTCTGAGCAATTAGAAATGGGACTGGAAATTGGAAGCCTTGGTTTCCTATTCTAAATCTAACCAATAATCATTAATTTGATTCGAGAAATGATTTTGAACTCCTATTTTTTAAAATAAAAAGCCTATTTGTAATATGGAACATTATTAGAATCTGCCCTTCCAGAGCTAAGGTTTTTCCCAATTAGATTAGACTGTGTGTTAGGTGTCAGAACAAACAGAAATCCTATGGCCAACAGCATTGTTTTTTTTTAAAGTGGTAATACTGTATCAATGCAAACTGCAAATTATTCCCAAAGATTTGAAGTAATAATAATACATAGCTTTATCTGTTGTCATTTTATGTTGTTAATTTGTAATTACAAATGCAATATTAATTTCTACTCTCAACAAGGAGAGTGGAACAAAGTGGTAAAAGTAAGCCCAAGGTCTGTTGGTTCTGAGTATAGCATCTGTCAGACTAGACCCCAAAATAAAAACCTTTACCTGTGGATGAATTAATTTAATTTTCATTTAATGCATTTATAAAATATTAACTTTAGAGTGACTATAAACTCTTGAAATCTTTCCATGTACCATTAATTAAAAATGGGTATCAATTTAGGTATAGAATTGTCTCTTTTTTCCTATAGTGATATAGGGAACATTTATTTCTAAAGCATGAAGACTGAAAAAAATCCCAGAGTAAACAATATAGTTTCTATAAAATAAGGAAAAACTCACTATATTTGCAACTCAGTGTAAGGAATATCTTCCTTCCATTTGTTTCTATACCACCTATTTCTGGGATAGTCAGTGCTTCCAATAAAGCTTTTCAAAAGCCAAACCAATTATCACCCTGAGTTTTTGCTATAAAGATCATAAAATAAAATAGTATTTTCAAATAATTATTCAGAATTCTGTCTTGTGATAGAAATGATGATGGTTATGTGACTCAGAGGAAAACTGAGCAATTTAGTAGCCCATAAAGTGGTGCCTTTATCTTTAATAAAGGGCCTGGTACCATTTGCCAAATTATGTGAATTGTTACATTTTGAAAATGGGGGGAAAAATTGTTATATGTCTGATTATAGGAAACCAGGAGGGATTAAAGAGGGAAAAAAACCTTCAGTATTGGGTTTCACTCTTCTTATATTTTTCTATCTTTTTAAATTACTTTTTTATTGTGATGAAAACATATATATATATAAAAAACATAAAATTTGCCATTTTAACCATTTTAAGTGTACAGTTCAGTGGCATTAATTATATTCTCAATGTTGTAGAACCATCACCATTACCTATTTCCAAGATTTTTCATTAGCCCCAAACAGAAACTCTGTACCCATTAAACAATAACTCCCTCAACCCCTGGTAACCTCTACTCTACTTTCTGCTCTCTGAATTTGCCTATTCTAGATAATTTCACTGCTTTATATTTTAATATAACCTTGTTTCTTGTCTAGACTAGAATTTTAGTTTATAATTGCTATAAACTAGGGAAATAAGCAGATGATCAGGACCTGCCCTTGGAAACTCCACCGAGAAGGAAGCTTCTCCTTGCTCCCAAGGTCTCTCCCCCTTGCTAGAGACATCTGGTTTGACTAGATGCAAAGGGTCATGTCCAGACTGGAGGCTCAGTGGAAACCCAGAGTAGTGCAGGCTCATCCTGCTTCAGTGGAGGTTAACGGTGTTAACCTCCGTTAATCTCCACTGGTCTGCTTCAGTGGCTAGGAGCAAACCAGGCTCCTAGACACCATTCCCCTCTCTGGGGTCACCTTGGAGGTCTGATTTGGTTTGGAGGCTCTGAGTATCTATCAGATCTCCCCCAAGTGG